GCTTCACCCAGCCGTTAAAAATCCGAAATTGCTCTACAGCTATTTACGGAAGAGCACACGTAACAGGAATCCCATTCGTGTCATGATGAATGATGACGGTCTGAAGATATCGGACAGTACGAATAAGGCTGAGCATTTTTCTCAACTATTCCAATCGGTTTATAAATAGAAACAGCCTTTATTCCAACTAGTTCCGGGAACATGGGAGATCCCACTATCGAAAATATCGTGTTTCGAGAAGCAACGATTTTCGAAGAACTAAAAAGCTTGAAGGAATGTAAATCTCCCGGTCCGGACGAGATCCCAGAAAAGCTGCTCTTCGAGCTTGCCCGAGAGCCGGCCAAGCCACTATCCTTTCTGTGCCAGGAATCGTTTGATGCTGGAATCCTTCCCACAGACTGGAAGACGGCCCACATTACACTCCTTTACAAAAGCGGTAGTCGTGCTCTTGCAAGGAAGTACAGACCCGTCAGTCTGACATCAATCTGCTGCAGAGTGATGCAGAGGAGTTGCTGGCTTATCTGTAAAGCCACAACCTCTTATCCAATGCACAACATGGTTTCCGCAGGGGAAGATCGTGTGTAGCGAACTTGCTATACACAATGCAAAGTTGGACAAGAGCACTGGACGCAAAACACACTGTGCACGTGGCCTATATTGATTTCCGGAAGGCGTTCGAGAGTGTCCCGCACCAACGTCTCCTGCACAAGTTGAGAATAATGGGCATCGGCGGCAAACTTCTCAAATGGATCGAAAACTTTCCCGTCGGCCGCACCCAAATGGTCTGTGTAGAAAGACAACTATCAAGGCGCACATTCATAGAGACTGGAGTCCCACAAGCCTCGGTCTTCGGACTAACCCTCATTCTCTTCTTCATCAATGATCGTGCAGATGGGTTTGACTGTGATAGTGCCATGTTTGCTGATGACAAAAAAATCTGGAAAGTCACCCAGAATGCTGCCGATGAGACCAACTTCCAAGAAAATCTTTGTCGATTGGGCGAGCTGTCACGCAGATGGCTATTATCCTCCGATTTGAACAAATGTACCATATTGCGTCTCGGAAATCGGATCCGTAGTATGCGGCAATACCATCTGAACGGAATACTACCTCGAGGTGCAGAAACGCAGAAAGATCTCGGAGTCTGGGTTGCAGACAGCTTAAAGCCTTCTACACAATTTTGTAAGGCGGCCAAGGCCGCAACTTCAATGCTATATGCCATCAAGCGGGCATTCACAGTTTTCGACGAAGACTGCTTCTCTAAAGTCTTCGGCACGTTTGTAGGGCCACACCTCGAATATACAATTCAGGCCTGGAGACCGTGGACGCTTCAGGATTACAATCTGCTTGAAAGGGTGTAGAGGCGAGCATCAAAATTAATAGGCAGTCAAATTGCCCTGCCGTACGAGATTCGCTTAACTAACCTTAATCTCTATCCTCTGAGGTATAGGCAGTTGCGCGGAGATTTGATACAAACTTTCCGTATCGTGCGTTGCTTGGACTGCGCTCTTCGGTGCGATGACGTTTTCCAACTCGCCACAACAACTAACCTCCGGGGACATCCCTTCAAGCTACGTGTGCCCCAGGATAGAATGAATGTGATAAAATATTTCTTCTCCAGTCATGTTGTGGAACCGTGGAATAACCTGCCCGAGACGGTTGTCATGTCTCAATCTGTTGTAACGCCCCTTGGCGCGGACAGAATTGTTTGAATGATGTAACGCTTTTTGGCGCGTGGACCTGGGGTGAAGATGGCGTAACCGAATGTTGGTGAAGATGGGCGGTGCCCTTCCCTCTCACTTCCGCCGACCCCTCTTCCCGCAATGCATCGCATCGTTCGTACCTTCCTCCGTCTTTCTCTACGTCGGCACCTCCCCCGGCCCTTCCCTGCAGTTGCCCACAGCGCTGCGCTCCCCACCGGTTTACTAGCTGGCATGTTGGTATCGCCTCTTCACCCAGACAGGTTATTCTTCAGCTGTAACTCATCCCCCTGTAATGTAAACGGTTATTACACGCATTTCCCTTGCTTATCTCGTTATGCATTACACTATTACCATTACTCGACATGTCTTCTTCTCCTGTGTATGGATGAGCATCAAGAAATATTAATAGTTCCGTTCACGGTCTAACCCGGCCAAGATCTCTCATAAGCGTTTCCTTACTCTGGTGTGTGCTACCCTCGACGTCCTCGGCTGCTACACTGTGTCGACATTTAAATGTCGGCTTGACAGACATTTGCTGCAGCAACAAGCGGACTATGTGACTTTTTAGCCATGAGACCAATGACATATGTGAATCAATTTTTGCATTCACTTAATGCTGTAATTACTTCACATTTTGCCTATTTATCGATTTTTATGTACAAATAGGAAGTTCAAAGGCGTAAGACTATTTCCCTCAAATACGCTGACTGACGGACTGACTGAGACTTTTATCATGGGTGTCAAAATCAGGAATGTTTCCCAGAGGTTCAAAAGTAGGCTTATCATTTTGCTTAAGGTGAATCGTGGGCCTTTTGGATTGGTGGTAGAATAAGAAGTACTCGCAGGTGTTGACGACAATGGTTTCAGCTCTTGTCGATGCAAATCAATAAGGGTACTCCGGAAGACAGTTGAGAAGAGGGAGACGCAACCACCGCAACAGGCATTTTATTCATGCCTGTGCAAATGTCGATGATGGACCCAGAAGCCCTTAATTTTGAGGGATTTGTTTTAGTATGGAAACCACAGTCTGTAGATACTGTTAACCGTGGCCCTCACTAACTAATCGCACGTCCTCGTCCAGTTTGGTTTCTAATTGTCTAGCGCCCAGCGTCCATTAATAGTGCAGTCATTGTGCTTTTCAAATGCAGAAATTACCTCCTGACTAGCAATAAGGCACCACTAGTGAAACCAAATGGGCGTCATTTATAATTGAAGCTCGGAAACCCCTGGGGATAGTGTGCAGGCGAACTTACTTATGTCCATCGTGCTCTGCAAAATATGTCCCTTGTGGCCGGAGTTAATAGACTGTGGCATCTTTGTTGCGTGTATAGTATTATTTGAAATTTTTAAGGAGTAAATAAGTTGTGGGCATAGCATTCCCGAAAAACGCACCCGAGCGCCTTAATTAAGTAGGAAGAAAACCAATCTAAGAACTACAGCAAAGTGGTGATGCGTAAGAAATAAACAGATGGAAAACTTTTTCCGACCGTTTTGACAGATTAGATCGAACTTCGCCTTTGCGTGGCTAAATATGGCCATCAAAACTTCAGCTCCACAGCAATTCTCCTGAGAGGTATCAGGAACTCAAACAAGTTGAAATATTTCGGCATCTGCGTGCTCTAAGCCGAACAAAATCTCGAAAAGGATTCCATACCTCCATCAGATGCTTGAGCTCACGACCCCGGCTTAGCTGACCATCTAGACGTTCTCATTAATGGCAGTTTTTCAAAAAAGCGTCTCAAATGACTTATGACAAATCATTAAAAAACAGCTCTTTGTTGTTCACGAAAATCCGTTGTCTTTGTTACATCCTCAACTTATTTTTATACGCCCTAAGGGACTGGTAGCGCCCAGTGGGGACTATAATGAACACATTCTATCCTGGATAACATAATAGTTATGAGAAAGTAGGTGATATTTATGAGTTTTTACATAATAAAGAGGACATTTTACATATAAACCATCACAAGAAAACCATTACTACGGCGGAAATTCTCAGTAGAAGCCGTGATTAATATGGCGGTAACCGCGTCGCCTACACAGACTATAACGATGCCAAAAGAATAGGGGACGTTTTATGATATGGGTTTATTGGACGTTTGACTTTTCGGGTGGCGAGTTCGTCTACCAATATCAAGAAACCGGCAATTCATACTCACAGATCACAGTATATGGCCAATTTGTCTCCTGCATAGCCTGCCAATGCCGACTTCAAGACCGCATCAGACCATTAATTCACTGTGACATATGTCGTCCCGCTAACGTTGACCATAAAGATAGCTGGCTGTCCCCACTGTTCCACGTGGTAACTGTCTCATGTAAAGAATTTTCTCAAAACCAGATAGAGGACACAAAAACTAATACGGCGGTTGGCAATTCAGTCGGTAGACATTCAGGCTTCTTACACCTGTCTTGTCGTATGATCATGCCCTCAGCCCACAGTCTCATCGGCTTCAAATTTGAAGACGTGTCTCATCTGCGCAGCATAGGTTTCTACATTTGAACACTCTGACGTGTATTCTACTGAGTAGGCCCTTCGCTCCACTTTCTTTATGAATTTTGACCCAGTTCAGCTAACGCTCGTGAAAAACTGTGGGTTCTAGAAAGTTCTAGGCGAAATATGATTTCGTCCCGTTTGGCGGCTGGCATGTTGCAATGAATTCCTACACACCGCTAATGGCGTGAGGACGAAGCACCGTTTGTGTTTTAACAGATGACCGATACTGCAACAGAGCATTTTCAACGTTTCCGTCAGTCTTCTACAGAGTGACGTCACCATTCAGCCATCTAATGTGCGTCAGACAAGAACATCTAAGACCGGAAGTCTGTCCTCCATTTCACTTTTCGCCGTTAGCCGTAGGTTTGGATAAACTCAAATTATTTGTGTTTTGTAATAGCCAGCTTTGTACGGTTAGTGAGACAAATGTGTCATAAACGTAGCATACCCAACGTTTGATTATATACTCCTCGAACAGCCTCCGCTCAAGTTTGTGCTGAACAAGACGAAAATGAACACGGAAGTTGGTGATCACCTTGATTTGCTCATACATGATCCTCTGGAAAATGAAAAATGTCGTCGGACAGTTATTCATATGTCCTATGAGTTTTCAACTGTGGGCTGGTCATAGCCCTCGTCATAAACTTGATGTAGCAGTTTAATGAGTGTTTTAACTACAAGGGCCTACGGTAGGGGAGTAAAAAGTGAGGTGAGATCAAAGAATACGATCCCCCAATCTAATTAAATTGTGACTACTTGCTTTGTCAAGGAATTTCTTTGTTTTGTGAACTGTTTCTTCAATGCGTCTGCGGGTCGCGGATTTTAATCAACTGAAATTAGTCCGGCAAATAGGATGTCGTCGTCGTTTTCCGTTCGGTGATCTGTTTGGTGAAGGGTGGCACACACGTAGGTAGCGAAACACTGGAGCGATTATTAGAGCTTCCACAATATGAGTTAAATGTTTGTTTATATGTTAATCATATTATGTACCATGCAGACATGTTTTTGCTGATCATGAAATATTGCCACATCCGTGAATCCTTGTTTTGGCGGATGAAAAGTCATGGAGTCCTTACTCTTCGTGGCGCCGCTCTGGTTTTCTTTTGTTATTTCAAAATGCGTCAGTTTCATAATTCCATCACACCGTGCCAACATCGCACGACAATCAATACAAGTGAAAAAGTATGTGAACCGCCCTAGTAGCAAACTATATCGAGACGATATCTATTAGATATCTATTTTTCGAGATACCTATATCGAGTATATATCGATTTTGTCCGCGGCCTAGATATCGAGACGATATCTATTTTTCGAGATACTACGAAATCGGCGATAGGGACAGGTTAGGGCACGCGCATGCTGCGGTTCCTTGTTCTTATACCCATATCTAATTTTATTATTGTCTGTTCGCCTTAGTCATTCCCATCCCGGCTTACTAGGCCTGCTGTTGCTCACTTTATAACGCGTTGAACGAGAAAATTCACGTGGCTATTGCAACCAAGGTAACCAGATCGACCAAAAAGAACTATTTTGAAGGCGTGTTAGAAGGGAAAAAGTTTATTGGATTAAAAAATAATTTAAAAAAGGTTTATTACATAGAAACATCTTGCGTGGATGATGGTCCATCACTCATTGAACATCCTGCTTGAACATTTGCTTGACGAAGTCATCTACATTGTGCCCACCAAGGCATGTGAGGTAGGACGTCTAATGCAAGAGGGAGTTACAAATATGGTAGCATACCAATTGCTTTCGGAAGCTATTGTCCAGTACTTGGTTTCGAAAGTCATCGGCGTTCTCCTGTGGCTCCTAAAAAGGTATACTGGTGTTATTTTCCATCACTTACTGGAAAGTCTCATTTCCATACCTCTTAATACGACGTATTCGTGTTCTCCGGGATCCCTGCCTAAACATAGTTAACATGGAAGAGTAGCAAACAAGAGATATAAATCAGTAATGGAAAGTAAGTGCAAGGACTGTCAACTCACGCGTTCCACGCCGCTCACGCGAAATAATGGCGCGGCCGCGTGTGCGCGCAATCGATAGACGACTAAAGAACGGCAACCAATGAAATGTCAGATTGCATGAGCGAGGTGGCCAATTACGTGATATCTCGATAAATCGCTATTCACGTATATCGACTCGATATCTATTGCTACTAGGGCGAAGACCGGACTTTTTATGCATCTGCTAACCGAGATACAGTTATAATAATTTGACTCAGTAATTCGATTACGGGCATTAAAGGACTATTTCCGAGGAAACGGTCGTACTCCACAACACAAACAGTAAGCCCTGTCCACCGTACGGTCCAACCTCGATTTTTTTGTCCGGCCCCCACCCACTCAAATAAAACTCCGCCCTGGGGGATCTATTAGAGTATTTATCCAATTCCCTCGTTATATACGCACGTCATGGATCAGTTTTAAGTGCATATGCCGTACTCATATTTAATGTGCTTTTTTAATAAAGCCAGAGCGTTTTGCCTCTGAGTACTATTCCAGTGTATGCTACAGATAGAACGTTTTTGAAAACGGTGCTTACTACCGCACAGACTGTTAAAGTTCACTTATACGCGTGTTTGCCGCGCAGGTAACTGCGAGTATTCGTAAAAAACCCTGCTTTGGTTTAGTTGACCTTGTAAACCTACGACATTATTGTAGAAGATGTTTATAAGCATATTTGCCGCACCCATAATCGCAGAGCTTGAATATCGCGTGAACTATGCACGCACCTTGATGGGCGTGCCCAGCTGTCCCTAAGCTTTTTTTGCAGCTTCGAATTTATCTGTGGTTGTACTGAGTGTAACAACGGAGATTAGCCGTTTAGGGGCCTTTATGCGCGTTCTTTCTAGTTGTGTTGATGCCTGGGGTAGTCTAAACTGACAAAACGATAGTTCTTTGTGTCGGTCTTCCTACACAGTTTTAAAAAGTGCACCCATCTCACTTATACTTGCGTGTTAGTCTACTTCGCTATAGTAATCGAAGATGGTCGACCATTAAATGAAGGTCTTTATTTAATTGTGCTTTTTTGGCGACTAGTTTCAAAACATATGCCATTGGTATTACTGCTACAGTAGATGCGAAGGTGTCTCTAAAGAACAATACAGAGCCGTATGTGTTGATCTTGAGTACACATGTATAACAATTGAACACCAATGGCATTGTCCCCGACTTTTTGGTCTGTTATTCTTAACTTCACGTGGGCTTGGGAGTTTAGTTGCATTACTTTTACGGCTTTATACTGGGCCGGCCCATCTTATGAGAGAGTTATCTAGAAACTCCTATTCGGAGCTATGTCGACAAGACTTCCAATGTGTAACTTAGCGTTTTCCTGCCCAGCGCACTAAATGGCTTTTGTTAGACTCTCCAAGTTTACGCATTATATGGAAATATCGTTAGCACGACGACCTTGTATAGAGTGCCGAGGAGAAATAAAGCCTACAGAAATCCTGGGGGGGGGGGGGCTTTAGAGGTCCGGACAGCAACTCCTTCGTGAATTTTGATGGAATTGTCTTTCTCTTATAGGACAACCAGCCAACAATCTTGGGTCAATTGTCATTGGCAACGATTGAGTTTTAAAAATAAGGCAGGCATCAGTGAATGCTTAACAACCCTTTCCTCGTTTTTTGGTGATTTATCGGAGTTTGGTGCACCCATAAGCGATAGATCCTTGTTTCCTCGCATCTCTGCTTTAGTTGATATGTTGTATCTTCCGTCCTCGGCGAAGCGGTCTCTTATTTTGCCTTGAAGATTTCCTTAACAAAATACATGAAAGATGTTGAGCAGTTCCTAATTTTTCTGCGGCTGATTTTGATTCCAGGTTTCTTGTTCTGGTAGGCATCACTCAGTATGGCGGAGTCCATAAGAATGAACAGGGTGGGGTCGAGAATGGAACCCTGCTTCACACTGACACTACCACTGCTTCTGAGACTGTCCTGCCACCCGGTAGAAACGGTTTATGGGAGTTTGTTCCGTAAGTAGAAATATAGTCAATTCAATACCACCTACGAATATCAAGTTTTTCGAGCAATGCAGCAAGCATTCTATCACTGATAAACGGCAGTCAGCAGTCTCCAGGAAGTCGGTAGTCTTCTGCCATTTTTTGATACCTGAAGTTCAAACTAGGTGCACCACTGAACACAGCAGAGGGACAGGAATCAAAATACTTGTTAGCATTATTGGGTTAACTGCGAGGTACAAGTGAATACTGTTTATCCTTGGTCACAATTTGGAGCTCGCAACTACTTATTACAGCGAAAAAAGGTCTGACGGGTCACGCCTAAATGATTATGCTAAACAGATGCAGATTCTACCGCCGCGGCCACCTAACAATGAAGCGAGGTCTCAGAGTTAGCTGCCGGAGGAAATATCCTTGTCTCCAGAGAGTGAAGGAATCTTATTTGACAGGGTTCTAGTGTTAAGAGTACCTGCGGAGTTTACTCCTCGTCTTAGACAGAGGTAACCAGAACCGTCTAGCGGTTAACAGCCATCAGAAAAAAAGGATCGAGGAGAGTTATTGCACAGTTACTTTCGTATGTCTGAATCTTTCCGATTTGCAGGTGTTGAGAATATTGCCGTTCCTGAATTTTTACGGCATTCATCTATGTCTGCACAGTTCCCACAATAGCGAGGCCAGATGCCCATATTGGTTGCATCTTTGCTTTAGTCGGCACTCCGAGTTTTTCCTTAATTTACCGCCCTTTGACACAGACACGGGAAGAGCATGTGGACTTTATCCTTGGCATCTCCAGGACTCATAATTAACAGATTTTGAGCCCAAAGATGGTGACTACTTTAAGAAAAAACTACTCAATAACTAAAACAAGAATTTTATTCGCCTAGTGTTTCGGTGTACCACTCGAATCTACCCTCAGATAAAGCCACAGTTAGGTATGATGAACGCACATGAGATTCAGTACATATAGCATGCAGTTATCATGCGACCGCCTACTTATCATGATTAGCAATTCCCTTCATCGCCGATGCTTGCACCTTGTACGAGGATTACTTTCTCGTCCTCATCCAAGTTGTTTATTGCGCACTTCCATCACTGCCGTTGACTATTGGGGGTGATAGTTACTCTACGATTTGGCACTTTGATACTGTCGCCGGAAGCGATTTTCGCCCGTGCGCTCCCCGCGTGGCTAATTAATCTGCCTAAGCAACGTCTCGGCACGAGATACAGAGCAGGAGGGTCATTGTGCTTGATAATAGACTGCGGATTAGAGAACCGTGTCTCAAGCGGCTAGCAACTCACGCGGTTGTCATACCTCACAAAAATTTGGCCTGATCGACCGTAAACATATGGCCGGGTCCCCTCGGATGACCCGCGCTGAGAGCTGGCATAATTCCTCCCCACTACTACCGTAAGTCCAACCATCCGCGTTCGAAGTTCTTTGTCCGTTTCTCCGACGTGGTTGCTTTGTCCGCTACTGACCTAGACCCTGTAAACAACGGCATATCTCTTGTCTCCACTGATTAACGTCTTTTGCTTCAACCATAGCTAATCGATGACCTTGTCATTCATTATTTACTGCCTCTTGCACCCCGACCAGATGAAATTATTGACGGACTCATTGTTTTGGCAGCTTTCGGACTTATTTCAGCGCTGAATCAGTTGCCTATCCGTTCACGTGGTTACAACCTACAGGCTGATGTTGTAAACACTGTGTGCATACTTAATAATTGGGCCACCATGTCAAGCCTTTAATGTTTAGGCCTTCGCCAGTTGAACTGAAGTTTTCTGTTACCTTGTGTTTTGGCTACCAGAATCGCATGTCCCGCCTTATTCATATGTTTTGACCGGGTATTGCAGACAGCCTTTTTTCAAAGCGATTGCCCAGACCCGATTTCTGCTGTCTCTTTCCTTCTAGGCGTCACGATGATGTCTTCAGCCCCTTTGACGTGCGCTTTCTGTCGCGGTATTCCGATTGCTGCGAGACGTCTTTTGTCGATGGAGACTGGCCGCCGTAGGCACTCGAGAATCCGAAACAATAACCCCTCACCTACCGTCATGTCGAAGTGTCCGCAACCGTCCTCTTCAATTTTACAGTCCCTCCTACTGTCCCAGGAAGCAGATGATCTTAATGCACCTGACCCAACGAGATATTGCCAGGATTTGGACGTGCGCTCTAGTGTTAGAATACTCGAATCCTGGATTGAACGGCTAGATATTGATAAGCAGCGACCAGCACTCCAGGAATCTGGCAATCTTGCATGCCTGGTCCCAAAGTAAGTAAAACATGGTGCTTTTATAGAATTATCATCTAGTATTCTACATTGTCCGTTAAGAAGTTGTGTGCGACACCAGGCAATATTTTTTTAAAATAACTTAGTACCGGTGATGAGCTTTAGTGTCTTTCAGTTTGCCTGTCGCCCTATGCTGTATTTGTTTAATAATGATTGAGACGTTGAGCAGGCCCAGATATTAGTAGGCGTCATTCTGTATCTCGTCTGCTGTATCTTGATCTTTTCACTCATGCAATTTTCCCCTGAATCAAAACTGGACTGCATAGAAATTACAGTTAGAGCAGTCAGATTATGGTGTCTGTAGTACGGCTAGTGTCCGTAAATAATCCTCATTTGGCTTAGTTTGCTTGGTTATTTTGTTATTTTCTCTTGTGAAAGAGATTTTTTGCATCCAAATTCACCTGCCGATCATGGGAACGTTGGTAGATTGTTCAAAGTCGAGAGATTGTATTTTTGGCTTAGACGTATGAAATTTTTTGCGGAATGACCGCCAGCTGTGCTATTCATGACCCCTATGTCCAGTCTCACTTTAGCACCGAGCTGAGATCGCCAAAATCGCGCAACCCAACGAACTTGTACGCAGAACGACTGCTAGTGCCGCAGGCGAAAGTTGTATTTTTTTCCTTTGTATAAAAGCCCCTCAATTCTTCCTTATTTTCTTCAATTTTGATAGTAATCCTTGTCTTCAAAAACTGGTGCAGCTTGGCGCCGACCTATCACGGATGGAAAGTGTTCCGGGTGTTGCGAATATGCTTGTAAAAGCAGACTTTGATAAGATGATTGCACCAAAACTGTGGATTCTCGCCGATCGCGGATTCGACCTTTCGCAGATCGCTCAAATTATAAGTGTGTTTCCGAAGATATTGAAGGTATATACTTTTGTCTATATCGGTCCGTTCTAGACGGGTACTTAGTTGTCTGACGAGGAGTTGAAATCTCGAATTTCATACTTTACTAAACGAGGGTTTACTCAGGAGCAGGTGGCTTCCTTTCTGACCGACAAACCTCTAATATTATCACTGGAAAGTGTTGAAGTGGACCGCAAACTAGGTGCCGTTGTCGACGTTTTCCGCTTTAAAGGTTTGTTTGTCTCTCTGCCTACTTTACGGCTATCGGTTTTAGATTCAGAGATCCGCGCCGTTATAATCGGAGCCAGTGAATGCATATTACAACCCCTGTTAAATACGAAGGTTTGTGAAGTTATTGTTAGAAGACTGTGAGGCTGTGTGATTTAGTTCTAATCCTTGAACCTGCTTTTGCACCGGTCCTTTTCCTACCTCACTGAGCATTAGAATTGCATCCAGTTTTCCCAGTCCTCATTCATCTGCCCCAAACCGCCCCGTTCGGCGCATTTGTCCTTTTTTGCATCTGTAATTCGAAACTAGAATTAGAATGACTTATTGCTTTCCTGGTAAACGGCAGTCGGGTTCAACCCATCCGAAAGCGCATACGAACTACAGGGATTAAGCAGGGTAGCCTCTTGAGCCAGGGCCAGCCTCGCGGTCAATTGAAGGTAATGAGTGCTTTTTAAACATATCCTCCTAGAACCCGATTCTTCCCGCAGTTTAGCCCCTTATACACAGGACTTGGCCGATGCTCAATTCGTAAATTCACGTAATCAAGGGGGCATTTGTTTACATACCTTCTACTTACACTCCTCGTGTGCTTTGGTAGCCTAGTCCTGACCCCCCATCCAGAAGCATTTGGGTGATACATTGCGTCCTCATATGGCCTGCGCCTATGTTGCGGTAGCGGCTACATCGTTCCATGAAATGCGCCGATCGGGCCGCATCGAAGCTGTTGGGGACCGTAGTCATTGCCCCTCACATGTATGACACGCGTTTGGCGGAGCCTTACAGCACGTCGACCGCCTAAGTCAGCCTGACTTAGGCATGTCACTGTTGTATAGGGGAGAAAGAGAAAGTGGTGCCGATGCCGAGGTATCCATCCTCATGACAATCCAGCATTGAAAGTCTGGCGCTCTTGAAACTGTCGCGACACGATAAAAGTCTTGGCTCGGAAGGTTAGCATCCGATCAACTCAGTCCTCGGGACTGAGTTGGTCCAACCACAATGGCTCTTGAGTATGGTCCTTATTGATCCTTCATTTGAGTGGAATACGGAGTTCCTCCTCTGAATGATTCACCATATTGACAGCGCAGACACTAGGTAAAGACCTGGACGCGCGTGTTTCGCTGATTTTATGACGCAGCTGCGAAGAGTTCGGCTCATCAATGGGTCCACCAGCGTGCTTCGTGTGCTTTCTGGTATATACTCAAGTTTTGAATGTTTGGCTTTTTTATTTCTCAAGAGCCAAGGCTCAAATTTGGGGCAAATCCTTCGGAACAAACCTATTCCGGCTCGGTCCGAAATTTGATATAAATATTCGAGTTAAAACCTGCCAGCTTCAGCGAAATAACCGCGTAATATCCACACATCAACAACAGTAAGTAGTTGCAAATGTTAAATGATTCACCACACAGATACTGGCTAAGAGCCCAGACACGTGTTTCGCGGCTTTTCTGTCTGGTTCGTGTATTTCTTGAGGACCGGCTCATGCCTGGCACGCGTAGATGGACTACTAAGGCAGACGGGACTAAGAATGGGCATATGAGCCCGGTCCAACGCGTGCACTTAACCATCACCTCCTGCCCTTGTCGCGTCGTCGAACTCAACGAACAAACTCTTGATTTTAACCCACTTTTCTGTTTTTTTTTCAATCCATTTACTCTGCCAAATTGCAATTCTGAAACAGTTTGTGTCAAATTTCAGGATGTGTTCGTCGTAATGACGAAGATGCTGGGCTTCTCCCTTCCCACTACACGAGAAATGATTGTTGCGTGTCCCAAACTCATTACTACTAGTAAGTGATTTTTGATTCTTCTGCCCTCTGTTCGACTCGGTGTCGACAGCACTGAAACACACACTGTCAGAAGGAAGGACACTGCTTGAATAGCCCCGTTGTAAATAACGATTCTCGACTAGGATTAAAGGCGAAATTGTCTCGTCCATCTGATTTAGGACCAAGCGCGTGCACGACACGGAGATGACACACGCCATGTTTCGCCAACTCATGCTGTCCGTCCTCGTTGAGGACGACCTACTAGTTTCGTTCCCGTGTCAGCAAACCCAGCTGAATGCCTCACGTTTGTCCTTAGTACTGGGCCACTGCAAAAGCTGATAGTCTAGGGTACGAAAGATACCATCGTAAAAAGTCTTATATTTGATTGTCTGCTCTTATGTCTACTGTTATTGACTTTGCGCAACCAGGGCAGATTGGGCATAAATTGAAGACACTAGCTAACCACATTTGTCCCCCCCTTCACCGACTCGAGACCACTGGAATTTACACGTTTGCTTTAACATTTTTACCAGATGCTAAGCTGGGATTATTCATGAGGATTGAGTTAATTAGGTGAAAGTGGTTTCCCAATCACTTATTTTCCGAAATTTCCTTTCCACATAGTTTGAAGGGATTCCTAATTAGTGCGTGCTCTTAACCTCTTCCAGGTCGTCGTGTTCTGTGCGAAAACTTTTATCACCTCAACTCTCGTCTTGACCTTCCTCTGGATGTGATCGCCAAATCTCCCAAAGCTCTCACCTCCTGCCCACGCATCCTCGCCGAAAGAACTAACTTCCTGGTTCACTGCAAGCTCTTTCAACCGGATGGAAGCAAGTAGGTTAACCTACTTAACCCTCCCTTCCCTCTATCTTGTTATTTTATGTTTCTGTCCAGTTTAACTCCTGCCCCAACGCTCCGAGGGTAATTAGCCTGATCACAACGACAGTTTAACTGCATTGTCACATAGAAATCGCTTCCGGCTATTGAGAAAAGGCTTTGTAGCCGCTGCCGATCTGTCGTTGGCTCATAAGAGAGCAATGGCAAAACGTACGACCTGCCACAACTGCCACCTCATGGAGTATGTCTGAAAATAATATTGGGCTCGTGGAACCTACGCGCCACGCATCCCTGGTGTTAACCAGTACCGTATACGCGGCATGAAAATCCAGATCAAAGTCCAAGTCTGCATAGATTGGGTAATAGTTATCAGATTTTTCGAATTCGTTTTTTGGACAATAGCCAAGGCTAAGAAGGAAGGTTGCATACAGGACCTGAATTGTCGAATTCATTCCTCCGCATGGAAGCCGAAAGAGAGGAGATTGTGGCTCTCGTCCATACGGGTTTTTCGGCTGCGGACATTGTGACGGACGCTACTGGTAGTCTTCTGAGTTCCATGCTTCAGAGTAAAAAATAAACGACTTAAAAACGGCCTCGAGATAGGAAGCGAAAAGATCTTGACGAATTTGAAGAACAAGATGTTAGTCTGTGACCGTGAATATTTAATCCATCGATACCGTCTGTGACAGCAATCCTGACAGGCACATCATCAACGTCAGAGTAAAGGATGTTCCAGAGGTGTGAGAATCATAGACAAAGCCAAGTGCACATTTTGACGGACGATGTTGGACACTGTGGCCTCAAGATATCTGGAAAAGAATGTTTCGGATGGAGGCCAAAGAGTACGTGAGCCCCCCTTCCTCGCCTGAACCCAGCAAAGCTGTGCGGATCTGTCGGTGGTGACCATGCAAGATGGGACCTAAACTGCTGTGCGAAAGAGGTGTAACCACCCAACTTCTAGGTCGTCACCCTGTGTACCATTCAATCTGAGCTTCTTTTCAGAATATGACTTGCAAGGCCCGGTGCTTAAAGCTTCGGTCATGTTCGACTTTCGGTTCGAAGTTGAGGCCGGGAAGAGTCCGAGGTGGAATAGTCGATCGAGGAGTTGTAAATGCCCGTACCCTACGTTTTATTGATCAATCTTCTCTCCAGCATATATTATTATCTGCCTATTTCGTTTTAATTCGCCTACGGTTGCATCTCTGAGTTCGGGAACTTGGCGCCTATCTTTCGCGTACTGAAGATTCGTGAAGGCAACTCTAACCGTACCATAGTGGACCCTTACCAGGGAGTTGGCCTGGTTGAGAGTTATACACCTGTGAATTTGACTAGTCTTTAACGTTACGACTGTCACTGTTGTAATCACAAGGAATTTGTCGTGTCAACACTCCAGGATAACCGGCGCCGTTAGATAGAAAGAGCGGATACCGTCCGATCTACACTCATTAGGCCCACTTTTGCGATATCTGTCGCTGGAGCATAAACCAAGTCTTTTAAACCAGTCAGTTGCTACTTCCTTGTCCATATGAGACGTAGTTTCCTCCTTCACTGACTTGTGAAGTCTTCTGCTATCATTCCTCCCTGCAAAAAGTTCTGATTTAATAGTGAATCTGCGAAGTACCAAGGCTTACTGAAAAATAAATTTTCTGTTAAAATATCCAAGTCCTATGCCGACGCATTGGTTCCACGTGACGCTCAAAGGTAGAGAAATCTGGTCGTACCTGACGAAAGGACGTTCGGTTGTTTTTCTAAAAACCAAAAAACCCTTCGTATGCGACCTGTCGGGGTTTTGGACTTTTGCCAGTGCTGGAGCAGTTCCTATTTTTATCATTTTCGAGGGAATATAGGTTGTTAGTGGTATAAGAGCGAGACCCGGTCTTAGCAACCAACAGCTGGTGGCCGCCTGCCTCACAGCTTTCATGCATTTAGAACTTAGCATGTTCAGCAACTATGCCAAATTCTCGGATTACTTGGTCGTTCAAAGGCAGCTGTCCAGTTAGGAGGAACGTATCTTGCCGCAAATTAGATAAGCCGAGTCTTATTGAGTTAATTTTTGAACTGTATGCCCTGCTGCTCCTCATATCCTCTTCTTCCTGGGCTTTGACCCTTACATCAGTTTATTTAGAAACCTGCATAATTAGTGTCTTAGTATCTTTCAAAGTGAGCTTTGTTTCTAAAAACTAAATACATTGTCGACACTTAGAGCGTGGCTTTCTTTGAAACTTTCTTCTGTATTTGTGCGCCATGCTTGAATTACGTCTGACGCTCCTAGTCTACAATTGTTTAACGTTGTTTACTTTATGCGCAAAGCTTTCATTGAATTTTGTCATTTTAGGCCATTGTACACGCCACTTGATTCTGTTGTTGATTGCGATGACAAAACCTTCTGTCACCGTTTTGTTCAATCTAAGGAGGACCTATTTGACGCGTACTTGAAGACACTGTAACTACTGCTCCTGTAAATAGAATTTTTCTCTGAATCTCCCCGCCTTCAAAATCAATTTTTCATTGTTCGCGCTTCTTGCCTATATCATTTTAATATCCTTGAAGGATTTCCGTCCAAGGCTTCAGAAAGATAATTGGATCGCGTGCAGGAACTTTTGGACTCACACGAGTGCTAAACTTACTGAGTTTCGGCGTTTCGTCTAGATCTCCCCCAACAACCTCTTTGAATTCGAAGAGCACGTTGTAAGGTGCCATAGGTCAACTGTTAATTGGGATGTGGTCTTAATACAAATTTCGGAACTGTTGATGTCAGTATAGGGTCATTGCCGATCATCACTGAGTCACCGTGTGGGTTGTCCTTCGCATTAGATCCAAATGGTGTTAAGCAAATGTACGAAGGCTGTCGATGAGGGCGAATTGGAGCTCATGGTCCGATCGCATTGGTTCCTCCTTTATATGGCTTCTAGAAACCCTCGTCGACGTGAGATCCTGCACCCTTTTCTTAAAGTTTGCTTCGTGTTCAACAAGTCCTCCGTAGCGGGGTAAAATGAAATCCAATTAGGTCTCGTTAGATGCTGTCTAAGCATTGCAAATGCAATCCGCTGCAGCAAAATTGGTGGACCAGTTCTGGAAAGTGTTAAAATATCACCGCGCCTCAGGGGACTGAGCATTTCAAATGCAGTACGCTGTGGCACTGAATGTGCCTACAAAGCACGCCATCCTACATATTTCGGCGCTCTGAAAGCCACGCCGACTAGAGTAATTAAGGACGCCTCTGTAAAGGTGTCAATAATTTATGGCTATAGACTCGCACATGCGTGCAGATGGAGGTATACTGGGTGAACGCAAAGACAATTGTTCGGATTTTTAATTTACTTGGAAATTAGTTCGCTAACTTGAAGCAACTCCTTCGAGACCAACCTTTCGAGGCTCGATCGGAGAGTTAATACGACTGTTTGGACTGAAATTCATCAGCTTCAGCGGAATGGTCGTGTAATCACAAGTTCCAAAAAGGCAACCAGTGGTATACAAACGTTGCATGACTCACCATACTGACAGTGCACGTGTCTGGTCTTTTAGCTAATACCTGTACTATCATGTGTATATTACAGATTATCTGTTGGCGGCTTGTGAAAATTTCGCGGTTGTCCCGCTAAGGCTGGTGAATTTCAGGCCAAATACTCATGCCAACTTTAAAGCGGGCCTCAGTCTTGTCTTCAGAGATTTACCCCAAACTTGCGCATAAACTCTGTAAGAGAGAAAGCGCCTAGGGGCCTCACTGATGAGCCGAATCCCTCAGACCTACGTCGTGCGACGGTAAAACAACAACCAAACATCTCTTTGGACGTCCAGCTAGTACCTGTGCTCGCCGTATGGTGAATCATGCGACATTTGCAGACAGCTGACAGCCGCGTCGGTTGGACGCATGCGTAAATCGGTCTTGGGGTGTATAGCTCAAGGTCATTCTACCTCTATAGCGAAGCATTCACTGGACGGCGGACAGTCTGGCGACCCAAGATGGTCTTCCCAGCCTCTCTCAACGTTGGGTATCTCGTATTCGAGGGCTAGAACAAGACTCGCGCGAACAACTGTGCCGTAAACTTGACTTGGGTGTGCCAACTCATGGTCATCTGACGCGTAGCAGCTCCTCCCTCGTCACCACTTGCATACCCACCTTGCCTCTTTCCTCCCCTGATTGCAGATCCGCAGTCGCATCCTGTTTCTTGAATCTCCGTCGTTTGGACCACAACTTTACCGTACTTCCTCTATTCATGTGAGGCATCGACAAGTGACAGTTGAGAAGCAGCCGCGATATATTTCGGTCTCAGAGATCAAATCATATCAGCCTTGCCGTTAAGAACTTTGCGAACATCTTGCTTATTCCTTCTCTCGATGGATGTCTGGGTAAGCAGAAAACAGAGTCCACTCCAGAAGGAGTCCTGTCAACTAAGTAGACGGTCGCTGATTCGGAATCTTAGCTTGAGACTGAAAACTGGAGGAGAAACAATCCTCTACTTAAAGACGTCTGTCAGTGGGAAGATGATAGCGGGAAGCCTCAGCTACCAATCCGTCCCATATCGTGTGTCCCACTGGACTGGTACCTTTTGTTGGAGGAGAACCAGTAACACTCCCGTTGGGGAATCTTATCTATGGGAGCTGTGAACAAACAATTCCACCACATGATTGACTGACCGACGATGTCCACCGTGTCCTCCACCGAGCAGGGCAACGGTGACTTGCGCGTGATTTTTCTTATAGTGATAGCAGACTTGCGCAGCACATGTCACACCCCCTCTCGCACCCGGGCCCGGTGTCAAGACAGTCAAGAAAACCGGAGGTGAGAGAGCGCAGGCGGCCGGACCCGCACCCAGACACGCCACACTGATTCATAACAAACACCCGACCAGGACTTTAACCGACAAAAATGGAGGGCGGCAGGGATCCCAAGGTGCACAACGTAAACCGCAAACTGGGCCTGCCACCGCACCCCGAATGTTGGCATTTGCTATGGATGCGCATTCCCAATAACGCCTGCCAGAGTCCGATATGGCCTCTGTGTTGGTCCAGCGCATCTAACGCGTGACCCATAATTGGGGCCCATTCTACTACAAACTCCAGTAACCACATTCCTAGCTCGAGAACCCAGCGCCGCCTAGCGCAAGGTCGAAGACTACACGTGTATGCAGAGGTCGCAGTCAAAGTTGCCACAGACGCGACCCTGTTTTTCGCATGAATCCATGTAAGCTGCCCAACGCCAACCCATATAGAGATAATAGAAAAGGAAACGTTAGAGAAACTCCGCTACTGACAATGAGCGTTTGACAAGGATTCGTGCTTGTAGGCCAGCGTTCAGAAAGCTCGTCTTACCAACCATGTGGGAGACTAGGACTGACACCAAACCTGCATGGCGTGTACACAAATGGTCAACAGGTAAGCGTGGGTTTAGACAACATAGTGAGTCGCTGCACAGTTTTAAAAGCCCAATTGTAATGCAGCCTACAGCGACCCTGCGAACGGAAAATTTTGAAGTGCCCCCCTTACCACCGGCGCGGACATGTAACCTTGACTTGCAACCTTGTTTAGAGACTTCCATCCAGAGATGGCCAGTACTTACGGTCAGCTTCCAGATGTGCGCAACAGCATCGACCACACGCATTGTTTGTTGACCTTGCTATAATGCCAGCTGAAGATTCTGACGAACGTGGCGTGGGTTTTTTCACACCCCGACCACTACTCATCGTACCTAGTCCATAACTTCATCTAAGTTTCCACTTGCGTAATTTCCAGGTCGTTTATTTACCCTTCGGACCCTGGGGCTGGGCCTAATCTCGCATGCATTATATAAGACCAAGCAGCACTATGAAAAGATGAAGAAAAGGCTAGATATACAAATACTGAAGGTATAAGTAAATAATTCGTTATTATTTAGTCCTCATAAACCGGTATGGAGTTCTTCACGGGGCCGGACAAGGATAGACAGGCGCAATATACATGGGATAGACAGACGAATCTCGGCCTAGATCTGTCACCGTGCTGGTTTGGCTGGGACCCGCTGGGTTTGAGTACGGGAGAAGTGCTATAGTTGATATCACAGGCCAGGAAAGCAGATGACAGTTTCAATTTATCTCGATGTCAATGTGTTTGACGTCAGGAAACTCTTTCTAAAAAGATAAAGAGAAAAATGATCCACCAGGCAGCAGCAAATAAATGTTGCTTGGCGCCGCTCGACTATTAGACGAGCCGACTTGATGGTCAAAAGAATGTAGCTGTTGGTTCTTTATGCGTGGGCGACCAAATCGCGGGTCACCTTGCGTACCATTCATTTTTCGGGCCTCAACGATTTCTTACTAATAGTCGTGGTCGCCAAGTCTGGCTTTAGGGAATACCTTCTGTTTGCCCAACACATTTTCCCTTACAATAGGTTCCCCAATATTGTTTTCGAACAAAGTTTTGCACGCTAATTTTTACGTGCCTTTCATCAGAGCCGGCATTTGGTCCAACGGAGTCAGCGACCTGGCCTATCAACGCGCCGGATAGGGGAAGTTTGTCTCTACTTTTATTATTGTCGGTTGTGTCGATGTTGTCTTTGAATTATTAAATGGGATTTGCAGGACGACCAGGACAAGCCACAACTCTGCCCTGCAGTAAACGATCAACAGGAAGAAACTCACTAAAAATTTCCCACTCTCAGGGGCAGGGTCTGTTGTACTTGTGAAAGTGCTCACCTGCAGTCTGACCACGCACCTTGTCGACCTTCTGCGACTGCCCTCCCGTGCGATCACTGTGCGGCGAGCGACGGCATAACCGAGATTTTGGATAAGCGGAGGGCTGCGGTCAGGGGATTTTAATTGGATCAGCCTAGGACATATGACACCAAGAGGAACAATCCCCTGTGCGGATGAGACATGACCGCTGGAACAAGTGCTTTATTAGCCTGGCATTTCGGATTCTCACTCACCAGCGGGTGGAGACGCACTTCAGTGAACCGGAACAAGGTTGATGAATTACAATACCTTCACCGGGTGCTTAGGGTGAATGGCTGCCCGTGCAACTTCGTCAACCAGTGCGTGCGTGAACGAGGCGACAGACAAAATCCAACCGGCCCCGGATTTTGGCGAGCTGTCCCGCACGTGAAAAATCTCTCGGAAGCCGTCAACTGCCTCCTTACGCCCCTTCGAATTGGAGTTGCATACAGACCAAAGGCAACCAAAAGGCGCTAGATCATGAGACCGAAAGGCCTACTGCCGCGGCAGGAAACATCTGGGGTCGTTTACGGGAAATGGTGCAGTTGTGGGCAAAGCGACCGTGTCGAACAGACCGTAAGACTACTCCGAACGCTATTGACCGAGCATGCGGCAGCAGTGAGGAGGAACGACACCAACCCCCAAGCCGCGGCTCATTCGATGGGACCCAACCACACATTCAAGTTTGACGAAGCAGGAATTCTTGCTAGAGGCGACAACCGCCTGAGCCGCTAACTGCTCGAGTCATGGTTTTCCGGTCCTCAATCAACAGACGCAACGACCTCCCCTCCTACTATGCGGCGCTGAGACTTAGCCTAGGCAAATTAGTTAGCCGCGAGAACATGCGGATGACCACTATGCCCGGTATCAATGTCGGCGAGCCGAATCACCAAAGGGTCCACACGGATGACAAAATTCGGTAGTCAGTCACTCGGCGGCGTGCGATGAACGTGGCAGCCGACAATCTTGACCGGCATACAGGAGCATGGCAACGGCATACTTCAACACCTGGCCAGTCGAACATGATGCCCTAAGGAGCTTTCAACTGTAATAGGCATGTAGCGGCCTAACAGCTTCATCCTATAACTATTTAAACACCTGGGCAATCCACTACCCTTATCTGACTCTGTCTCTGATGATGGATTCGAGTGAGATTCCGAAACGTCAGGCTAATAAAGCACTTGTTACAGCGATCGTGTCTCCTTCTCCGCGACTACTTTCTGGAACTTGTCTCTGCTTCTATTAGCAAATTTCCTGTGCAACAACTCGTCCTCAGCCCTTTGTTTGAGAACATTTTGGAAAAAGAAAAATGGACAGGGTACAAAAGAACTTACTTTGATGTTGTCCTCAATCTTGTTGATTTCAGCACCTAGTGTGTTCACTATCTGGTCGCCATGTTTCAGCATGAAATGAATCATCTGTTCTTCCGTTTTGATGCCGTTTACCTCCTGCGTTTTACAAAAGACAAATTGAGTAAATGAACTCAGAAGTATAAATATTTACATACAAAACAGCAACGTTTCCGAATTAGGCACACAGCGTTTACACTGCCCGTGCTCTTCTGTCTGAAAACCATGTTGGAATGTAGATGTTTACCTGTTTTTATCCGCCTTGGATACCCGAAGTTGGGGCTTCCAACAAGCTGCGATCGGGAAAGCGCAAGGAAGGACTAGGGACGTCATCCTTGAGTTCCAACCTTAAAGCATGACGACCCATACCCCCCACCCCCTCTTTGCTACCCGATCTATGGAGGTAGGCAATGGGAACTGGTTCTGCGTCTTACGTCATGTGTCTAAATTTCAGCGCTTTTGTGGCAAGAAGCCACTAGCGCAGACAAGTGCTACCAGCGGTGCACAGGTGGCCTTGCGCTAAATTCCAACACCCAGTATCTCCAAACAGCGGAAACTGGATGGTTTCAGCAGAAAATATCATCCGAAGTCCACCGTCAGATCCCGGTTGTCAGCCATCTGAGCTTGCATTCTACAGAAAAACTGCGGTTAGCATGCCCCAGCCTCAAACAGTTTACTTCAATATGTCTCGGTAATGTGCCCAATGCACCTTGGTGAAGTTAGGTCGAGTTTTTGTGATCTAGTATCGAGCTCGTAACTAATCTCTAAGAAAATGTAGAACCAAACCATAATATGGCGTGGAGGGAGAGAGAATTCAAACAGGCAAACCTTGAGGAGCTTGTCTGGTGGTATCGTCTCGAGGTAACGACGAGTCAGTTCGCGACCATCAATGTCCACTTCTGCCTTGAAGCGGACTGCATCACCACCGCCCATCATCATCGCCTTAGTGTCGTAGGTTCCGCGAATAATCTTCGCGTTGTCAATCAGCCTTGTGATTTGTTCGTGGCGTTCCAATGAGATGGACCTAGAAGAGCGGGAGTGAGTAGATGGCGGGGCGATGGCAGATGAAGGGGCCACAGATGAAACCTTTTTGGCGGACGACTGGAGGTCCGACAGTCACTGACTGTCACGCTAGCAAAAGTCCCCGGCTAAATCCCATCTTGTCTACTACTTTTCTATCTCTCGTTTTAGTTCCAGTAAGTCAGCTGTGAGATGAATAAAGCCCTATTACTGGGTATTCTCGTTCTGATTCTTGAATCCTGATTTGTTTATGCTCTCCCTCTCGTGTGCTTGCTACAGTCCTAGTTACAACAATTTATTCATCTCACAACTCAAGAATGGACTGATTCCTTAGGCCAGGACGATTCGATTGAATTCCGAATGCTCAAGACGTTTCTAGACAGTGGAGTCATTGGTTTCACACTTTTGAAAATTTTTCGTCCACGATTGATAGCCTGAAACCGGATAAATTATGCCTTCTGACTAACTACGTTTATTTGACAGTCTGGAACCGCATTAGTGAATGCTCCACTTACGAGCAAGCTGCTAAATTGCTACGAGATCTCTACTTAGGACACAAAAAACGAAATATCCGCCCACCATTTTCTGGTAAACTGTAGACAGGAAGGTGGAGAAACCTTCGACGGGTTTGCTCAGCGGCTAAAGTCCCTAGCTACGGACTGCGATTTTAAAGCCGCTAGGGCAGAAGAAATCGCGACGATGCCATCAGAGATGCGTCCATCAGTGGCCTTCCATCAAACCAGATTCGACAGAGGTCATTGGTGCAGGAGAATTCAAACTTCCAAACTGTCTTTGGTCAGGCATGGTCACCGCGAATGGCAGAAAGACAGTCTCTATCGTATCAGAACACCCCGACGACCTGATTCTCCTCCGCTACTGAGCCATGTGAAACTTCGTCGAGTCCCATTAAAGAGCATGGCTAGTACCTTCTACTTCATTCCATAGCAAATGCTTTTTTGTGGATACGACAGGTACCGCCGTTCGATTTGTCCCGCACGCGATGCGTTATGCAAAGGATGCGGTAAAAAAGGGCGCTTCTTAAAGGTGTGTCTAGCATCACGGAACCGAAAAGTCGTCTCTTCCGCTATGTATCCTACCATTTCCGCCGTGGCATTAGTTGGGGTTGCTGACTGTCTTCCAAGCGCAGTGGTTGAATTACTGATAAATGGGACTACTTTTAAGGCCCTAATTGGCACGGGTAGTTCTGAAAGTTACACTTCTTCTTCAGCAATGCTCTGAAATAAGTGGAAGGTTCATAACATTCGCACTAAGATATCCATGGCCACGGCCGCGTTAACCAACGCCACGCAAGGACACGTTCTTGTCTCTATTAAATATAAAGATACAATATACGAGGTCAAGCTATAGGTCTTGACGGATTTGTGCGCCGATGTTCTTCTTGGACACGACTTTTTCCGGCTCCACAAAAATACTGAAATCCCTTTGGTGGACCTAAACCTACGTTCTCGTATTATTCTGTGGCTGCCGCTTGCATCGAGCCTCCCCGTTTGTTTCCTAATCTGACACCGGACTGTAAACCCATCGCTACTAAATCTCGTAGACACCAATATGGATGAGAGATTTATACGAGAAGGAATTCGTCGCCTTCTTTCTGAGGGTGTAATTGAGCATTCATTATCCCCCTGGTCGTAGCCAATGAAAACCCCAAAGAGCGGCTGGTTATCGATTATAGCCAAACGATCAACAAGTGCACACCTCTAGATGCCTGTCCCTCTCCCAGAAGAGACGCAATGATTGAAAATATCGCAAGCTACGACACGTACAGCACTCTTGATCTCAAAAGCGCCTATCACCAGATACCCAGCCGGGTGGAGAAGAAGGCGTACACTGTCTTTTGAGCTTGTGGGCGTTTGTATCAATTTTGTTGCATCCCGTTTGGTGTGACCAACAGGGTTGTGTGCTTCCAGCGGCCCTCGACGACATAATTACGTGCGAGCGTCTAAAGAATATCCCCTTCTACGTGGGCAATATCGTTATTTGTGGGAACGGTCTCGTGCGGCATGACGTAACCCTTCGAAAATTCCTTGGCGTGGCCGAAAAATACGGAATAACATTCAATGAAGCCAAAAGTGTTATTGCTGCTAAACAAATCAAACTTCTTGGTTACGAGGTATCCAAGATCAACAGTAGGCCAGATCCGGACCGTCTAAGGCCCTTGCATGATCTTGAGTCTCAACAACGAGCTGTGGGACTGTTCGCATACTAATCACAATGTATATCTCATTTTTCAAATAAAATTCATCTGCTCATCCACAACAAAACTTTCCCTTTACCATTGAAAAATTTGAGGCTCCTAAGGCGGGACTTGCAAAAGTCACAGTGGCCAGTGTTCACTAGTTGTCTAGACTGATGCTTCAAACGTCGCAATCGCTGCCCCACTGGATCACAATGGCCGACCAGTAGCGTTCTTTTCACGTAGCCTTTCTCCAAACGAGCGACACTATTCAGCTATAGAGACAGAAGCATACGAAGCAATGGAATTCATACGGAAGTGGAAGCACGTCTTCCTCTGTAATCATTTTAAACTCATCACGGATCAGCGACAATCAGCAAACAGGGAAGGTCAGAAATGATATAACCGCTGGAGGTTGGAGCTGTTAAAATTCAAATTTGACATTGTCTACCGACCTGGTGAAAAAAATAGAGCGGCGAACACGCTTTCGCATAATTACTGTGGCACCCAACCAACCAGTGTCAATCTGAAAGAACCATACGAGTCACTTTGTCATCCGGTGTCTCTCGGGTTTCACATTTTGTTCGAGCTCGGAATCTCCCCTTTCCGATGGTGGAGATTCGTAATGTCGTAGCTAAATGTCAGGTCCGCTGTGAAGCCAAACCCCATTTCTTTGAAGCACAAGGTCAACTCATCAAAACTACCCAGACGTTCGAACAATTGTCACCCGACCTCAAAGGTCCTCTTCCGTCGGCAACCCACTACCGCTACCTGTTGACGATTATTGATGAATATTCTCGTTTCCCATTTGCATTTGCCTGTCCTGATCAGGCTGCTGAAACTGTCTCTAAATGGTTTGCCAGCTTTTCTCCATATTCGGTGCTCCTTCGTACTTACACACCGATCGGGCACCATCATCTACATCAGACGAAGTTCAGCAACTCCGTCACAATAAGAGAGTAGCGATGAGTAGAACAACTCCGCACAATCCCCAAGAAAATAGGTAGGTCGAACTTTTGAGCCAAGCTTCATGGAAGACTATCTTACTTGCTCTAAAATCCCAAAGTTTGCCTGTCACGCGCTCGGAATCCGTTTTACTTGACGCGTTACACTCAATCGGATCACTTTTGTGTACTGCCACTAATGCGACACCTCATGAGGGAATGTTGCCTAAATTTGATCTGGTCGTTGAGGAGGATGATCTGCCCCAGCGTAACCCCCAATATGCTCACATACGATTCAATAATGGTAGAGGAGAAACTGTATCGGTTCGACTACTTGCTCCCAGTGGTGAAAAAGATATTGTTGATTGTCATCAGGAGACGGCCACGCCCGTATCTGAAAATTACATCCCATTTTCCCCTGATCACCCACCAACTGCTGAGCAGGAAAGTAGCACCATTTCAACTGACAGACTGAACGATACAACGCCTGTTAGTGCACCTAACGCTGACGATGTCCATATGCATGGCCTAGAAACATTGATCAACAACAGCAGCGTGTTCACCTATACTGCCTTCGTAACAGAGACACCTGAACTTTGCTACATGCAACCTGCTAGTTAGAATTTCGAGCCCCAGGTGTTCCACACTTCGGGGTTGTGTATGACTGGCTGACGACGGCTAATAAGCCAGAAATGGCCATTCCAGTCTCCCTTGCCTTTGTCGGTAATGCCATGAAACCTTTCCTTCCGATTTTTCGACATCCCGGCCCCTCTATTTGTTGGTCGAGGTGAATGTCATGCTAACTTAAATCCCTAGCTAAAACCCATCTTATCTATTTCTCGTTTTAGTTCCAGTAGGTCAATTGCAAGATGAATAAAGTCCTATTATCGGGTATTCTCGTTCTGACTCTTGCATTCAAATTTGTATGTGCTCCCCCTCTCGTGTGCTTTCTACAGTCCTAGCTACAACACTGACGCAGCGTTAGACCGCCATCCGTTTGTGCAAATTGATGCGATTTGGAGCACTACTTGAAACTGTAGTGCTCGAAGCTGGACATGCTAATTAAATGAAAACCAGAGATTGGCATAGAGGCGGCACCATTAAAATAACAGCCACTTTTAAGCCAGTACATAATGAAGTAATAACCTCATGGGAACCCGACACCAGTTACCTAAGTATTGTCTTCAAAGGTTTACTAACGGTTTTCGGTACGTTTTGCAAGTGCTGGAGAAGAGATGAGCTAGAAGTTCAGCTCTTCTAAGCAAAGAAGAGAGTTGGAGGCAGGGGCGACGTACCTTCTGCGGAATGATTTTTTATCCTCAAAAACAGCTTCAGGCTGCCGGGAGGGCGAAATCATCTAGGGAAACTTTCTTATGTCTCTGTGGTCACAGACTTTTAGAATGTCGGCCAGGCGGCAACTCTCGCCCTCTGAGTGTCAAACCCTCATTTCCGTCGCACAAACATCTTTTAGTTCTGACGGCAGCTTAAGCTGTCGATGATAGTCACGATAAGTAGTGGACGAAAAAGAGGAATGAGCGGAAGGCAAGGAGGTAAATGAGGGTAACGAAGGCAGCGGTGAGGAAAGAAGGACATGCATGAAGCAGCGAGGACGTACTTGCCGAGGAGAACCTCCGTATTGGTGTGAATGATGAAACCAGCCACACCAGCTAGGATTATGCTGATGGCCACACCACCAACAGCGTCGGGCCAGGTGACCCCCATCAAAGCGGAAGCACCGAGAGCGGTGCTGGCTACCAGAACGCCCAGAACGGCGGCCGCATCCTCAAGGAGGACGACACTGGTGCTGGGGTCTGCGGCGCCCGAGAGCAGGTAGGAGCGCAAAGAGGGGAACTTGCGTTCACGTGACTTGGCACTTGCCTCGCGGTAGGCCATGACCATTGTAGAGCCCTCAGTTAACAAGGAACCAGCCATCACTGCGAAGGCGCCATAAAGGGAGGAATCGAAGGTATGCGGAACAATGAAGCCCTGAACTGCATGGTAGAAGGTGAAGCCAGATCCAAGGAAAAAGATGCCTACACCACTGATGAGGGAGGAGATGCTGCGCATGCGAGAGTAGCCATATCTGCGGGAAGAAAGAGAAGATGGAATGGAGGGGGCTGCTGGAAGGAATGGATAAGAATGACAGGATGATAGTGAAAAAGTAGTAAACGGTAGAGGTTGAAGGAATGGAAATAAGGTGGATTTCAATAAGAAATGTAAGATGCTCGAAATTATGGGGAAAGAGGGCGAGCAGAAAATAAGTGGACAATAAAACGAAGGCGAAGGGATAAAGAGACAAGACACCGAACGTGTAAACGTGGTCAAAAAAATAAACAGGAGGAAGGCAGTTAGTTATTAGAATCGTAGGGCATCATATTGATCGAGGAGAAGGTAGAAGACTCACGGGTGGTCAGCGTCTGGTAGGTTCATGGAATAGTAAAGGCCGTAAGCCAGTAGGATCTAGGAGTTCAATAAAACAGTCAAGAAACACCTGATGAACAATACATGAGGGTAGTACAGTACAAGTAGCCGGAGATATTGACCACATCGATAAACCTGTATCTCAAGATTCTGTGAACAGCGTAGATATGAAAGTAAGCAGACAGCAAAAGAAGTCAGTAGTACCTGGTTCAGAGTATCCGCGACGGAATGCATCATTTCAGAGAACATGCTTTTGGAGCCGGTGTACCACCATACGACCGCCTTCGCCGCCACATTTAGGCTGTTTCTATTACATCAAAAGAAGACTTGCTTAAAGCACATTGCTAGCGCGGAATTTGGAAAGCTTCTACGCCCAAATTCCTCGTGAATGCAAGAGTTTTGAAGCGCACGCCTTCAAAGGTCTGAATGTGAAAGTGGCGCAACACCAAAAAGGGCCGCCATGCCGAAGAATACGTGCAAAAACATAAAAATACACGAGGGCGAAGTATGGACTAAGCAACTCACACTGCAACCGCAAACATCACCACTTTACCAGGGCCGAAGTCCAGAAGTCTGCCGGTCTGAGCTTTAGACTGAAAGGTGTAAATGTACATTCTCAATAAGATTGTGAGATAGTTAGGGTTTCAGATAACACAAAGTAAAGGAGCAAAAGATTTGTGGCAAACATGAGCGAAGAACAGGGTCTTTAGTGGTCTCTAAAAAAGACTATTAGACGGATGAGAAGACCAGGAAAAGGCAATAATCTGGAGTTTTTTGCGAAGAGGAGGACTGAAAGGCGACAAAAAAGAATACTTAGCATACATAGACGTTACGTTAAGGAACATCTCCAATGTGCCGCCGCAATATATGTTTCACTACAAGACCAGGACTCCTACTCTAACATACAGATGACAGTATAAGTACGCTTACAACAAGGTTGCAACACAGCAAATAACTTGGTTTTCCGCTGGCTGAGGGTGGGTTACGTAAAAAAATCAAAAGCACACAAGTGAACATATGTTGATACGTCCGTGGGGGTTCAATTTGCTGACAGCTAAAAACCTCGATAAGAGCACATTAGGAAGGCTGAGAAACCTTCAACAGGAATGTCTGCATAAAATGGATAGGTAGGGTTTGTGCGACACAAACCCTACCTAGCCACGGACGTACTCCCCCTTTCCCTCCTCGCCCCCCCCCCTTAAGGACGAGCGATATAAATGTTTATAATTTGCTGCACTCCAGTAGTCTCTGATGATGAACTCCAGTTCGAGTTCGAAAGCTCAGGCAAACAAATCTACTGTCCCAGTGATCGTGCCTTCATCTTCTTCTAAACAAGAACCTGGGATGCGCATATTCTCTTCCATTTGTTTAAATATGTGTTTGGACACTAAATTATGCTTGCTTTTAATATACGGAATGATAAATTTGTTGTCGAGGAAATTGTGAATGTAGACATTGTGTTTGTCCCTTGATAACGTTAAAAAAGCATAAAAGATAGCAGAAAGAAGGCATTTTTACTCTCTACTGCTAACTCGACATCCAAAAGCGAACCTAGCGTGCAGAGGATAGATAAAGCCACTGGCAGATGAAATCAAGGCAAACTCGCAATGCGACCGCAGCCCTAATACTGCCGACTTGATAATAGGCAGCAGACCTCGAGTCTATTCCTGATTCCAGACCCTAAAGCCAAATGATAACTAAAAAAACCTTTAATTACAGAGGTACTGAAAGTGTCATGAATGTACTCACACGGGAACATCCCAACTCTATTCAAAAACAGGAGTTGGACTATTCTTGTTTTATGGGAAAGAGTCGAAGATGAGGATTCAGATGAGAAATGGGAAAAACTGTGGCTTCCGAAAATAAAATAACTAAAAACAGGAACTACCGCCCGTCTCCACCACCTTTTAAGCAAATGAAAAAGAGTAAGTGATAAACACCGCCCAGGAAGGCTAGGATTGGAAGTCAAGATAAGGAACGAACTATTGTCTAGGGCTCGTAGTAGGAGAATGACAGAGCGAGCAAATGAGTTGATGCTCAAAATGGCAACAGGTTTAACCAAAAAGAACAGTTTGGACATTAAACGATTAAAACTTACCGGACGCGGCGAATCGCTCGGCTTGCTTGACTGGTTTAACTTGCGCAGCGTTGTCTTGAAAATGTGCATATCTTCAAAGTCAGAAAAATCAGTGATTACCCATTCGAGCTCTGCTTTCCAAGTCTTTCATTAATTTCCTCCGGAGATCGAGGGCTTGCTGCCCTCCGTGTTTTTCAAGGGCTCTAAAAACTGAAGCATTGAAAAAGTGCGTACACTTTTTCAACATCTGAGCGAAGAAAGACTTGAGTACGGACTTCATTGGAATAAGGACTTCTGCTGTAATACCTAGGAAGCGCCTCGAGATCACTGAGGAGTTTTTTTAAAATAAACAAACCTACGACGGGGAAAGCATATATTCATTCATGGCCCGAACGGGTGTGATGAACTTAACCGACTTCACTGAGTCGTCGTATTTAAGTGGCGTTTTTATTTTTGGGACAACTATTAAATGGTAGTAAAAGAAACCTGTTTACCCTTCGCCTCGATTTTATTTGACTCATTAGTCGACAACTGCAAATATGGGCAAACCACGACGGCAGGAGCCTTAAAAGGAGCTTTTAAAGTAAGCACCGACAGAAATATAGTACCAAGACTGCAAGACAGGAAAAGCGGATAGTAGGAAACCGTGCAACTACGAAGGAACCTTCTCATTTCCCCACTAATTAAATTAAGTCATCCGCAAACTTAAAAGGGTCGGGCTTTGGGAAGTTCATTAAAAGTATTTTTGTGTTCAGTTCGATTTACTTAAAGAAATGTAGGCGTGTAGCTTTGAATTCCCTATTTGTTACACACAGATAACGTAAAGAAAAAAGTGGAAAGGGAGTAGCACAAGTGATACACGGGATTATTATAAACTGTATAAAGGAACTGTGAATTTCATGCGTTAACAGCTTTCGAAGGCGTACGAACTCGGTTCGGTGGCAATGCAGTAGTTTTCTGATGCACACCTAAGCTGCAAGAATAATGCCAAGATTCGCCGTCTTTAAGCGTCTTGGTGAACGCGGGCAGTTTTGTGAGTCGTGGTCCGAAAAATAGTAAATTACACAAAGACGTATTAGTTAAATATTGGTAGGATCCTCGCGATGCTGTTAAAATGTTAATCTTGGCCTGTCACACCCCAGCAGACCTGACGGACAGGAACCCCTTTGTTTTAATGGTCCTCACTCTTTTTTAGATCGATCGTGAGGACTTCTCACTCGTGTCGATCACCGGTGACCATCGATCCGATAAGTCCAATTGTCGACATTTTTTCCGTTTTCCTGTTTTTGTTGTACGTTGGTCCTTATGTCGTCTACTGTTTCGTCTTTTTCCAGATTTCTGAACTTCGTTTTACGTGTTTTCAGTCTGGTGGCAGATACCCGGCCTCGAAGCGTGTACGAAAAGGCATATAGATTGGTTTAGCCAACTCACCGGCGTTTCTTCAAAATCCTCGCCGGGATCTCATCGTGACCTGGTGATGTTGATTCCTCTGGCTTTATCCGCTCCATCAGAACCATGCCCTCAGTGAACTGAAAGGTTTTAATAATTTGGGCCTCTTAAAAGTCACTCGCGGGGGGGAGGTGGTTGACTTCAGCTTCCCTACCAAAATCAGACCGAAAATGTTCTAAAAGATGGTCAGCTTTCGCTCCATCTTCAGTGACATTTATTACGAGGCGTAACAGAAGGTCTTCTCCAACTTATTCCTCGGAATATGTTAAAATCCAGTGCTAATTCTACCGCTGCCCCACACTTTCTTAAAAACAGACTTAAAAATCTACGGAAGCAGATTAAAGATCTTTCTGTGAGCGTATTATCAGTTGGTCTTAGAATCGTTGAAATATTTGAATTAGCTTCCAAAATGAGGCTCGTACGAGGTAGGCGTAGAGAGTCTTTAGATATAAATGACGTGAATGCTTCTACATCAGTTGCTCAGATCTTCCGCAAAAGATCATCTGCTAAATCCCACCAAGTCATTCCGCCTTTGCGTAGTACCAGCGATGTCCTCATTACAGAGGAATCAGGCAAAGCCGAAATGTTAAATTCGTTCTTTGCCAAACATTTCACCATTGAAACTGACCCAATCCCTTTAATTCCTCCGTTGTTTGATGCTTCTCTTAGCATCATTAATTTTTCTCCTGGATGTATTCAAAAATCAATAAACCATCTTCCTAACTCCCACTCAGTAGGTACGGTCGATATCCCAAACTCTCTTATAAAACAGCTAAGAGATTTTTCTCCTCTTCTCAGCAAAATCTTTTTAGTATTCCTCGTAAATAGCTTCTTTCCTGGCTATTGGAAAACTTCTATCATTATTCCAGTATTTAAGTCTGGCTGTCGTTCTGACGTTCAGAACTATCGAGGAGTCCATACAACACCCTCTCTCGCCAAAATCTTTGAAAAAATTATCGCTTTAAAAATCACTGACTTTTGAATAAACAATCAAGTTATTAGCCCATCTCAGCATGGTATTTTACCAGATCGCTATTGTGAAACAGTCATCTGTCGTTTCTCGATCTACTCACCTCTCTTCGTAGTGACCATCCATCTGTTGTCGTTATTTATTTTGATAAATAAATAAATAAATTTTTTTTATTTAATGCCAATTTACAGGCATTGTCAAGGGAAGCGATTAAACATAAATCCGACCAGCAGTGAAAAAACTCCTGAGCTAAAGGGATAAAAATATAGTTGATGGTGGTTTTTATGGTTTGGAGGGCTCAGGAAAAAAAACTGCCGGCGGTGGTAGAATATCGACCGACAAGAAGGGGGGAGGTTGCACGGTATCGGAGATTATCGGACGTCAAATTCCTTTCATGAAGTTGGGGATAGCCAAAGTAGAGGCGTTGAGGAACAGCTGGTGAGACCGGCCGTAGTGTTCAGAGACCACAAACGCCATCGCTACGGTAGAGTCGATCAGAGTTTTCAGCACCCAAAATTTGTGGGAGCTTTTCTGAATGCAAAAATCGATTAATAGTTCTCTTAAATAAAGGATAATTTTGCCGAGTTTTCACACTCATTGGTAGTTTATTCCAAACAGCAATTGCATTTACAGAAAAGAACCGACGATATTTAACAGTACGTGCCAGAGGCAGAAATAAGAAGACCTCACGGTGACTGTTACGCCGTGGGTGGATATGATGTCTTAAAGAGGTAAGTGTGTTAAATGTGTGATTATTTAAGAGTTTAAATAGCAAAAATAGTCCCTTTTGCCATCTACGGAACCATAAAGGATCGAGGCCTGTAAGCCGGCAACGTTCTTGGTAAGACAAATGTCGGTGTTCCGGGGTTAAAATGCTCTTGGTAAAAAAGTGTTGAACGGATTCTATTTTCTTCCGCTCAGTAGCACGCATGAGGCTAAATAAAAACGAACAGTATTCCAGACCAGGTCTAACGTACATGTTGAAAAGGCGCATTCTAATGTCCCTAGTTGTAAAATTTCGGAGGATAAACCCGGTCGTTCTACGTACTTTGGAGACTATCAAGGCACAGTGCTCCGAGAGATTGAGACTCTTGGAGTATGATACGCCCAAATCCTTAATAACCCCAGGCACAATTATTGCGTGACCTTCAATACTTAGTTGAGGTTGGCGGTCGTCGCCAACCACCATGACTGAGCACTTATGCCAAGAAAGAGAAAGGCGCCATGTGCGGCACCACTGGGCGAAAGCCTGTAGATCGCTCTTTAGGAGCTCAAGCACGATGTCACGATCTGCCGGCTTGTATCGATATGCAACTTTAAGATCATCGGCATGCATGAACGGCTTACCATTCTGAAATAAATCGGGTACATAATTAACGAAAAGGCAAAATAAAAGCGGGCCGAGTACACTACCCTGAATGACTCCACTCCTCACACGTGTGGGGTTGGAGATGGTATTGGAAATCTTAACTCGTTGTGTGCGAGTGCCCAAATAAGAGGATATAAAATTCAAAAGTTTGCCACCTATTCCGAAAGAGGACAATTTCAAGAGAAGAAGACCATAGTCAACACGGTCAAAAGCCTTAGTGAAATCGAAATATACTGTGTAAAGAGCAAAACCATGGTCTCTAGATTGAAGAACATAGTCAAAGAAAGAGAGTTGACAGGTGTCACAAGATCGAGCTTTGAGGAATCCATGCTGAGCAGCACTCAGTAAGTTATTCGCTGTTAAGTGACACATCATCTTATCTTTGATCAATGTCTCTAAGATCTTCGAAACTGCTGGCAGGGTGTTTATTGGCCGAAAGTCATCAAATGATGTAGATTTGCCGTGCTTAGGAATGGGCAAAATGTGTGATTCCTTCCACAAGGTAGGATAAGTTTCACTTTCAAGAGCGAGATTAAATATCTTGCATAAGAGGGATGGGAAAATCGTATTTGCATCGGCTTTTAAAATGCTCACTGGGACACCATCAGGGCCTGGACTATAAGATTGACGAAAACGCCGAATCGCAACAGTCACATCCCACAGAGTGAAAGTTATAGTTTCTAGAACTGCCCCGGTCAATGACTGGATGGTCGGAAGCGGAGTGGTCGAGTCTTCAATAAACGTTTTGAATAGGAAATCATTGAAGCTATCCGCGGTTAACTAGGCATCAACTATGTGATTTCCGAGATCGTCTCGAAGGATGGGATACTGCGTCTTTCTCTGAGTTCGTATTTTTCTAGAGAAAAGTTTCGAGACACTTAACGAATGGTTTTCGGTAAAGTGGACCTCTTCGGCTAGCTGTTTGTCTTCAGACAATCTCTTAGCTCGGTCAAAAATATCACGAATCAAGGGCAGGACAGAAACATCGTTCTGCAGATGGAAACGACGATAAAGCCTGCGCAATCTGCGACGAAAGGGTAAGGGTAGGAAAACCTCATCCCCAACATTAATAATTTTCTTACGGGGAACAAAACGAGAAATAAGCGGATCCAAAATTTCGTACAGTTTTGCAGTGCAAACATTTACATCCGAACTAAGGAAGAACTCAGTTCAGTCGTGGGAATTAAGGTGTGTTAATAATTCGGTTGAGCGAGTTGATCGGAAATCGCGGAAAAAGTTATACTTTTGGGACGACATTTCGTCAGCCTCGAATTCCAACGTTGAAACCACTATGTCATGGTCTGAGCCCCCGAGTGGGCCTAGGGATGACACTGACGATGGCAAGAAGCCTCTACAGAAAATTAAGTCAAGTATACTTGAGCCTCGTGTGGGAAAATCGACAACCTGATTCCACATCCCAACATCCACAGCCTCAAGAAAGTCATCGAACCTTCTGGGGCCTGAAGGCGGAGACCAGCGGACTTCAGGCAGATTAAAGTCACCCGCAACCCATTGATACTTAAAGCTTAAGTCGGCCGCAGCATGAAATGCCTGTGAGAGTAAACGATCAAAATTGTCATTGGCGTTGGGAGGGCGATAGACGCAGCCAACGAGTAAGGAGAACTTATTTTTTAGTGCAACCTGGAGCCAGCAGCTGCCTTCTACTGCTGAAAAGTGCGGGAGGTCCAACGGCAAAAATGTAAGTGTTTGCTCAACGTAGACGCAGCTGTCCCCACCACGGCTATCTTGGCGATCATTTCGAATGCAATTGTAGCCTAGAAGAGAGAGTTCGGAGTCAGCTACTGAGGCTGATGCCCACGTCTCAGTTACTAAAACAATATCAGGACAATGGACGATAACCTGAGTCTGAAGCAAAGGCATCTTATTAAGCAAGGATCTGGCATTTAAAACAAAAAGTTTGAAGGGAAAGGCTGTTAGTTTTTGAGGGAGGTGGGCTACATCGTCCAGTTCTGGGCTGCCCACGGAGCAAACGGACCGGATGCAACCATCCGGTTCTGCAAAAAATTTTGTGGCATCAAAAAATTCTGACGTGGATAAAAAGGGGTAGGACTTGGGGGAGGGAATGACGGGCAGGTAAACTGGTAAATATTGTTAGCTAACTTATTTTCAGCTGGAAATCCGCGGGGCAGATACTGCACATCAAAGACTCTTGGTTAAATTAGAAGCTATGCGAATTCGCAGTTCACTAATAGACTTTATCAGGTCATACCTGTCTACTCGTAAGCAGAAGGTTTTGGTGGGATCTTCAATTTCCAGTGAAAGCCTATTGTAAGTGGTGCCCTACAAGGCACCGTTTTAGGTCCTCTTTTGTTCCTGTTTAGATGAATGATATCTCGGCGGCAGTTTAACATTCTCAATCATTTAGTTATGCCGATGATCTCAAATGTGTATATTCTTTCAATAAATCTACACGCCTTCATTGCCTGGAGCAAATCCATGCTGACTTGCTTGCCGTCTCAGTGTGGAGTTCAGAATGGCTAATGGAATTCTCTCCGTATAAATGTCGCTATATGTGTTTTGGACCCGATAGGCTACCTCAACCAGTGGTCCTTCAAGGCACACCTATGACTGAATGTGCAAACATCAAGGATTTAGGTTTAAGCTACACTAGTAATCTTGATATCTCGCCACATGCTGACAGAATTACAACCAAAGCTGCCCAGATTTGTGGCTTTATTACTTAAAATTTATATCTTCCTGAAATAAAATTAAAGCCCTATCGTATATTTTTACTTCCCATTCTCGAGTATTGTTGCCCATTCTTTGGTTTGATGAACGAGGCTAGTCGTTCAAAAATTTAAAATATTGAAAGATGTTTTACTAGAAAACTTTTAGGCAGGGAGCATCCAAATATCTCCTGCTCAGATAGATGCCAGCTAATTAACCTTGAATTTTTATGGTTTCGAAGACTAGAAGCAGGCTTCTGTCTCCTCTTTCGCAATAATAACAGTTCAAATCTTCTTCGGATTTCAGCATTTACCCCTAGTAGTCGCCCATACAATCTTCGTAACTCTTCCTTGATTATACATCCTCCAGCTTCCTCCACCTCCAAACGCTCTTTTTTTCGCTTCCAGATATACTTTCCTCTGGAATAACCTTCCAACAAATATAAGATCTTCCAATAATTTGCAAACCTTAAAGAGAAGGCTACGCCTTTATCTGAATACTGACTCGATTAAACTTCTATTTTCCTCATCCTTTCCGGACAACTTTCTTTATGACACTGAGAAAGGACCACCGGGAATCTAGGACGCCGCCATTAACTTTCCGCATCCGCTCACATTTCCTTATTTTGTGAGTCGTATCACTTCCTAAGGTTCGTCACGAGAAATGTTAATTTTTCCAATTTTTCAGTTCATGCAGCGTGCCCCCACAGAATGCGCTCCATCGACACTCTTTTCGAAGCCGTCTGTAGTCGTCATATACTAGTGGTCTGGTCGCTTCTCCCTTGCCCCTTCCTCGGATGGACTCGGCTGAATACAACCGATCGCATCTGGATTCCTATCGCCTCGAGACTGGTTTTCAGTTTGCCACTTTGCCATGAATGGTCTCGTCCGGCGTATGAATTCTCGCATGATGATTCCTGACTCGAACCTTTTGCTCAAGTCTATATACAGGCCAGTCCTGCCTGACCCGCCTACTTACCCCTCAATGAAATCCGTCATACAATGCCATATACAGTCCAGCCCTGCCTGCTTTTTACATATTAAGGAGCGAGAGTTTTTTCTCCTATATTTCTAATCCAAGCATATCATTTTCTTTATGTTGGGAGTTTTTTTTCTGTTCGCCCAACATTCTTCGTAGTATGCTACTTATTCAAAAACTATGAATTAAGTACTCTTGTAATTCTGTATAGCTCGTCTAAAATTCTAAAATTAATGTAAAATTTAGTTTCACTTGCTATGAGAGGACTCCCACGGGTCTTGAATAAAAATTATTATTATTTTCGCCTTCAGCAGTCCTTAGCAGTGGTATTGGTCCTTATTTCGCATATTCTGTCTAATATAACCGTAGGATGATTTGGGGTTCTGCGCGGCACGATTAAGCAGATCCAGTTAGAATTCTTTTCTTGCTATGAGGATAAGGCAATGGACTTGATTTCTTTGAACTTTTTACGTTATTTTGGATAAGGGGCTCCCGTCAGTAGGCATTTTTTCCACAGCCTTCGCCTTTTACTCTTCAAAGCTTGCGCAAACCATCGAGGTTTGCTAGTTAAACGATTTCTTGGAAGCTGACAGTGGTTTGCAATGAGCCTGTGCAGCACTTCGTGGAACCGTTGCCAGTCTTTGTGTACGGTTCAAGCAAATATTGATTCCCACCCAACGCGCGTAATTTCAGCTCTCATTTGGTCGAAATCCCTGCGCCAAATGTTTCTTATAACTATCATGGCTCTCACACACATGGAAAAGGGCAAGTAATCCCATAGTAGAAGGACGCAGTCACTTTCACCTTGGGGTGGGGGGGGGGGGGTAGGCACGACATCTCACCAGTACTGTCCGTTAATTTCATAAGGAAGTGATCAAGGTTGTTAGCCTGTTAGCCTTTGCGTACTCTAATTAGAAATGTGACATGTTGAGCGAGAAATAACTTCAGTGTAGTGTCCACAAAAATGGGATAAAAAGACAATATATTTAAGCCTCTAGTTTCAACATTTTGGAGTCTCGAAGCCTCAATTTATAATAATTTCGACGGCAAATGGCCATCTACTATTCCGTTCCCTCTTTTCTGTAAATAGCATACGTCTTCTGAAGCAGCAGGCAACGTAGAGATTGGCACGCGATAGTGCGACCGTCGATTTCGACGATGTCCACCGTGTGCTTCGCAGCAAGGGGAGAGCCGGGACGGTGACTTGTGCGAAAATTAGTTTATGGCGACAGTAAACTTGCGTAGCATCTACCTCACACTCTCCTCCCCCACTTGGGCACGGTGTCAAGAAGACCGGAGGCGGAGTAAGGCGTAGATAGATGTCAAGGTCGAGCCCGCGCCTTGGAGTTCCACTCCACATCCCCTGGTCCACACAACGTATAACCAGACTTTTGACCAACATCAAAGAGAATGGAGGCTAACACGACCATACCCGCACCTAGGCGTTCCGCCACACCCGGCTCGAGTTACCCGTGCCAAGGAAACGAACGGAGACTGAGTTAAGACACACACTACCCACTTGCGCATGGGGCGTCATTTAAATGCTTGTGGTGCGTAATGCGGATGTGCGAGGAGATTGTGGTGAGGGAGGATATGATGATATGGTGCAACCGGCGGTTGTCTACTGCAGGTTTTCATGGATGCGCATGTGGCCGGATAGACCCATGAGGTGCATGAATGTGCGAGGTCAGTGTCGACAGTAAAGGCGGATGCAGCAGGCATAGGTTGGTGCTTCAGATACTGGTTCACCAGTCTCTGTACGATGGATTCGCAAGTGACCGACCAGGCCGATGTGTGAAGTGAAGATGCGGTCGCAGTGTGGGCACGAAAAGTCGGTGGTGCCGGTGTCAGCTACGGAGATGGTGGTGGTGGGCGTACTGAGCGACAGCCTGTGGATGGGGCTCATTGTGGTGGGTGTGCAGTGTGCACTGGGTGTGATGGAGCTGGTGGAGGTGTGCGCACAGGGCGACGGAGTGAGGGAAGGGGTAGGCATGGCGGGTGTACTGAATGTTTCGGGACTGCGGTGAATTTCGCTCTCGTAGATGCGCATGTGGCTGAATTGGCTCATGCGATGCATGAATGTGCAAGGACAGTGTGAACGGTGGAGGCGAGTGCGGCGATTGCAGGTTGGTGACCCAGGCACTGGCGCGCCAGTCTCTGTGCGATGGATTCGCAAGTGACCGACCAGGCCAATGTGCGAAGTAAAGATGCGGTCGCAGTGAGGACAGGTGTAGTCCTGTTTCTCACGCCTGGTCTCGGCGATTGTAGTGTTGGTTTTTGTTGGTGTGTCCTGATTGAGTGTAGTGTTGATGTGCATGACTGACGCCACAACAGCAGATGTTGAGGCAGTGGAGGAGGAGCAGGAGGAGGAGGAGGAGGAGGAGGAGGAGGAGAAGGAGGAGGAGGAGGCTGGAAGTGATGGTTTGGGAGGACGGCCAGAATTAGTTGACGGCGTAGAGGGCGAGGGAGAGTTAGACGGAGGGACGACGGTTGGTGCAGCCCGAGTGGTGCAGTTGATCGGAACGTGCCTAACAAGTCTACTTGGCGCCCTGAAGGGCCGTTGACACCGTGAACACGTTGGAAGCGGTTGTGCTTTGGCATTGCGAGGTGAGTGCAGCTGAGATTTGAGGGCTTCTTGTTTGGCGTTCGCGGCGGCAATGTGGTTGGCTTCGTAGATTGCAGCGCCTGTTTTCACTGTCCTCCTCCAAGTCGGTCGATCTCGTGTGAGGTCTTCCCAGTTGATGGGATTGATTTGCAGACGCTTCAGACGGGAACTTAGGGTACCCTTGTAAATTAATCATAATAATAATGTATTTAATGTCAGTTTAAAGGCATTGTCAGGGAAGCGTTAAACACAAATCCGACCAGCAGTTCAAAAAACTCCTGTCAAAAAGGAGCAAAAATAAAGTTGATGGTGGTTTGGAGGGTTCAGGGGAAAAGAAATTGCTGGACTCAAACTACCGACAGTCAAAAATGGAGGGGTTGCGCTTCATCGGGTATTATTAGTCGCAAGTTCTTTTCATGAAGTTGGGGCTGGTCCGAGCAGACGGGCCAAAGAACAGCTGATACTGTTGGCTAAAGAAATAGCTCCTGGCAAGACTGGCCAGGAGGCCAGAGACTGTAGTGGTCAAGGACGTGAGATCAGCTTAAACCACATACAATAATTTTGCTCCGTCTAGTGACAGAAGCCAGAAATTTGTGAGAACGGGTACATTCTGTACACAGACGGGTCGCCGTAAGTTGGCTGTATGCTTGTGGCAGAGATAGCCGTTCGTTCTGGAGAGCGTCAGTTGCGGAGCCTTCAGTGTGTCGCTACCACCAAAAAAGTGTTGTGTTCTTTTTGCCTATGTCCTGTCTGTTCAAAATCACGTCCGCAAGGGCGGCGTCCCGTGTGTGCACTTGTAACCAATCAGCGATAGAAAGCTGCGTTGATTGGCTCCGAGACCACGCGAAGGTAGTTTCAAATTATCGACCAGGAGTTGGCGTGGACGGGGGTGCAAATCGAGGGTTAGCGAGCGCAGCCGTGGCGCGTAAACAGTAGAACGAGGGGACAGAGAAAAGGCTGCTACAAGACCACAAACGCCATTGTTACGGTAAAGTCGGTCAGTGGATTCAACGTCCAAAATTTGCGGGGGTTTTTCTCAATGCAAAAATTGAGTGACAGTTCTCTTAAACAAAGAATAATATTGCAGTGTTTTCACATTCCTGGGTAGTTTATTCCCAATAGCAATTACATTTACTGAAAAGAACCGTTGATATTTAACGGTATGTGCCAGAGGAAGAAATAAAAAGACCTCACGGTGACTGTTACTTCTAGATGTTTGGCCTCCTTGGCGACGGGAACTCGTCTTGACATCACTGGTATCCAAGTTGAAATTACGCAACCATCTTACACCGGAAAGCATAAAGGCACCGTTAACGGTCTCATTCCCGAACACTCAGATTCTTGACTTCGAGAAGGGTCCTCCTGGGATTTAGTGGTAGATTAAGTGGTAACTCTTAATTATATCATTAGAAACGCCTGTTTTGAATTGGTTTCTAAATCCACTGCTATTACTCCCCCCCATAGCGACAATTTTCGCGGTTTTTGATGTCATCTCCCGCATTCCGACCTCATGCGGTCTGTCGACACTCACGGCGGAACCCCCAGTATTCACTGTTTACTAGTAGTTCGGTCGTACCTCCCTTCCTCACTGCTCGGCTGAGCTCGAAGCGTGCTGTGGCCGATCGCATTTCGGTTCCTCTCGTCTGGCCTCTTTGACGCGGCGTACCAATCAGGCCCAGACGATCTCAATTGTGAATCCCGTATACAATGCCATTTGCAAGCCAGTCCTGTCTGACCCACATTCGTACCCATCAAGGCGGATATTTATTGCTACCCTGACGATGACCGACAACAATCCGTTATATACCGCCACCTACAGGCCAGTCCTGCTCGCTTTTTTCTGTTATTATTTTTAAAGAGGGGTTTTTTTTTCTCCTGTAAAATTAATCCAATCATTTTTAACTTTTTGTTAGGAGTTGTTTTTTTTCACCCCTCAATCATCATGTTTCTCAATGGACTTCTAATTTAGAAACTATGAATTGCATTTTGTAAAGATTCGACCTACCTCGTCTAACACTCGCATGCAAATTTATTTTAACTTGCTTTGATGGGACCCCGACGGGTCTTTAATAAAAATTATCTATCTATTATCTATCTATCTATCCCCATAGAAGAGTCGTTCGGGTAGCCGCTCGTCGTCCATGCGTATGAAATGGTCGCTTCAACGCAGTTGTAGTTTAAAAGACAATTTGGCGAGCATACGTCTGCTTCCGATAAAGTCTCTTCAGACCCGATTGTGCACAACCGTTCGAAATCCTCCGATCCGAGGTAAGTTGAAATTTATTTATAATTGAAATATTTGGCATTTTCTGCGCCAAATGTCAACCGATCTTTATTAGCTGTCGAAAATAACAGATAAATCCTTATACACTCTCTCCAATTAACCATGACCGATGTTAAGCTTGCTGTCGACAAAATAGATCTTTCGGCCATCGTAAGTTTACAGAAGTTTATCGATAAACATGAAAACATTTTCATGATTCTCGACTCATTAACAGACTCAAATACATTCACGAACAGCCTAAATAACCTACCACAAATAGAATAGACAATACATTTGGTCTCATCAGAAGTCCCGAATAGATCAAAACGCAGACTCAATTTAATTATCCGCAATATACCCCACGCGGTTAACCCGACATCCTCAATTCAAAAACTTTTAAATTCCTGTGGCTTAAACATCCTAGTAGCTAACCCCAAAAGACTTCACTCTAGAAGCAAAAATATACCCGTCTTAGTAACCTTCTACTCACAGACCGAAGCTGAGCTTGTTCTACAAATCCCCGAGTTAAACAGAAATCTACGGAACCGAAACTCATTTAGAGGTCCAGATTTGTCACCGATACAAAGACGTAAACTTCGGGAAACAGACACCAGCTACAAACACGGTAATCAACAATCCGGTCCCACAAATGAACCTCTAGCTTTTACCTCTACTCCTGCCACTAATTAAAAGAAATGCACAGACCAGCGTAAACAAAATGATAAATCCACAGCCCCCTTAGATGGACCTCCAGCAAGTACTTCTGACTCTAGTTCTCAGGACAAAAAACGCGTTACTGCAAAAGCAGTTAGGAATGCTTGGCAGAGAGAAACAAGGGAGGCAAAACAAAACAACAAAGTTCAACTAGAACAAAACGCTGACGCCTATCCCGGACCTAGTCACGTGACACCACTAGATAGTAATATAAGTTTTGATGCGCCCCCACAAAAACGATCAGCCTGTTCTAGAAATCGACCGCCAAACAAGACACACAAACCAAAAGGCCTTATTAAGCACACCAGCACAACCAAAATGCCCTAAATATATAGATATAAAAAATAAGAGATCTCGAAACTCTAACCAGAAACAAATAAGCTTCTATAATTATGCCTCGACGCCCCAAAATCCACCTGCATGGCATAGGAATAAGCCAAACCACTCTAGCCTTCCAAACTTCTTTCCACTTGATGACAACCCCACAAATTACTTTGGCTTTTACACCTCCCCAACTGAAATTTCATTTAAGTACAACTACCACCTAGTTAACCCACATTCCCATATGCGCACTCAATCCATACACACTAACCCATGCACTCAAATTTCGCCAAACACATCACCATATCCTCCAAAAACCACACACCTACCGCCATTTAGTCCATCATTCAATCAAAGTACCCGCAGCAATCCTTTTTTCACCACAGCCCACCTCTTCCATATCCGACATCTTAAAGATAGCTCTTATAAATTCGAGGTCGATTGTCAATAAAATATCCCAAACTAGAACTTTTGTTGAGATATATAACCTCGATATACTTTGCATCACAGAAACATGAGCAAATGAACTTATATCGAATGCTTTGCTATATAATCCAAATTATAATTTCTATCGGCAGGACCGTGTTAGTATACAAGGCGGAGGCTGTCTTATCTACATCATAACTAGCACTGAACAAAGTGGCATTGATGTCCCAATCGAAACCTTTGCTGGAGAAGCGCGTTTTGCCATAATAAAATCCCATGCCCAGTCAGATGCCCCTACTCACCTCAAAAGTGTAGTTATGATGACACAAACCTAGACCACTTAATAAACAATAGAGCTAACATAAAAACAGACTATAAGATAATCGCAGACGACCTGAACCGCCCAGAAATAAACTGGGACGAATGATCGGCACCTACCCGGCACGAAGAATTGTTATCTTCAATTATCTTTAATAAATGGGTACAAATAGTTGACAAACCCACCCGATGAAACAATATACGACATTTGGCCCCTCTATATGCACTACGATTGCGTAACCTTTGAAAGTGACAACAAAGCCATAGTATCGACACTCCCCTTAAATACAAAACTAGCACCCCATTTTAGGAACACCCGCCTAAACCCAAAATAAACTTGACAAAGTCTCAAGGAACAACTATATTAGGTCATTGGACTGGAGCCCATATCTTCTAACAACATCCCCTATGGAAGCAGTTAACCTATTGTACTCTGTCCTATTTATAATTCGAGATACCTTGATAGACGAAGGACTCCCGTATAGGAAGCCACTATACCCACACTTCCTTTCAACTAAACCAAAAAACCTAAAAAACAGCTACACAACTCCTCTGTAAGTTATTTATCTACACTTCGACGAATTAGGGAAATTCAAGACCTAGTTACGAAAATGGAAACACAAAACACCATAGCAGCAAAACATCGGGCATTAGAATCCCCTGAACGAACAGCTCAGCTGTCCAAGAAACAAATGAATAGTCCTCGACAGTCAGGACTACGAACTGTTATTGATGAATTAGGACAAGTTATAACAAATTACAACCGAATAGCAAACGCATTCAACAAATAATTCTTAAATAACTACACAGTCGAGAAGGGAGCGACCCCAAACTGACCGAAGTGACAGAACGCATCGTTAGTGAGATCCGTTTAAGTGAAGAAACTGTTTAAGTAGCCATTAACCAACTATCCAACGCAAACTCGAATGGGACGTTAAAAAACCCTCCATGTATTCTGAAGCATATGGCATATGCTTCAATACTCCTATCTTAGTTATTTACCCAACTCCAGTCAAGTGTTCTTTTTACGGACATGTGGAAATCCTCGGCCATTGCACTTGTCTTTAAAAGCGGCAACCGATCTCATACCCAAAACAATCGTGGTGTCCACCGAACACCAGCTACAGCTAAAATCCTCGAATAAATATTCCACAATCAGTTGCTAGACCATCTCATAAACGCCAACTTCATTCCCTTCTGTCAACATGCATTTTTATCTAAAAAAGTAATCTCAGTCCTGCCACCTTACTTTTGTGGAATTCGTTTCCAGCAATAGAGACGATGGAAACACAGTAGCTTCAATATACTTCGATCCAAAATAGGCTTTCGACAAAGTCCCCCATAAAAGACTACTGATAAAGCTAAAATGTCATGGAATTAGGCCTCCCCTTCTCGATTTTCTTAAATCCTGCCTTCATAAGTGTGTTTACTCATACTCTAAGGACACCGCAAATGTTTGTGTTGAAAAAATTAATGCCGATTTACTACGCTTAAGCAGATGGGGTTCGACATGGCAGATGGAGTTTTCATCATCCAAGTGTAGTTTCATGTCTTTTGGTCCTACCAAACTTCCTAGTGCCATAATTTTTCAGAATAACCTACTCTCAGAATGCCTCACCATAAAGGACCTAGGTCTATGTTATACAAATAAGCTTGCTTTATCACCTCATGCGGATAGAATCTCTGCCAAAGCCGCGCAGATATGTGGATTCATATCGCATAATTTTTTCCTTCCGGAAATGAAGCTAAGACTTTATCAAATGTTTGTTCTTCCAGTCCTCGAAAACTGCTGTCCTTTCTTCGGCTTTATGAACGCCTGCGACCGTAATAAAGTCGAAAATGCTCTGAGGGTTTTCAACCGGAAACTGTTCTCTCAAGCTTCGTCCAGTATTTCTTATACTCAGAGATGTCAGCTGGCGAACATTAAGTTTTTGTGGGTAAGAAGACTCGAAGCCGGCCTTTGTTTCCTATTTCACATCAACTCTAGCTCCAGTCTTCCGCTCATTGGCACTCTCACTCCGAGAGATCGGTCTTATGCCACGCGCAACTCCTGCATGGTGATTCCGCCGCCTCTTTGTACTATATCTAAGCGCTCCCTCTTCTTTGCTTCCAAATATGCCTTCCTTTGGAATAATCTTCCGCCTGAAATTAGATCATCGCCTAAGTTACTGGTATTCAAGTCGAAATTGCGCAAACATCTTACACCGGAAAGCATAAAGGCACCGTTAACGGTCTCATTCCCGAACACTCAGATTCTTATCTTCGAGAAAGGTCCTCCTGGGATTTAGTTGTAGATCAAGTGGCAACTCTTAATTATATCATTAGAAACCTCTGTTTTGAATTGGTTTCTAAATCCACTGCTATCACTCCTTCCCATAGCAACACTTTTCGCGGTTTTTGATGTCATCTCCCGCATTCCGACCTCATGCGGTCTGTCGACGCCCAGGGCGGAACCCCTAATCTTCGAGGATAATGAAATAACGGAAGCCCAGTCGGTAAAAGATTTAGGTCTCAACTATACAAATACCCTTTATTTATCTCCCCAGCCCAACAAATATCACCGAAAGCTACTCGCCTGTGTGGATTCATATGTAAAAATTTCACCTTAAATGCACTTAGAATACAACTTTTCAAAATGTACCTCTTACCTCTCTAGATTATTGTTCAATTTTCTTCGGCAAAATGCCTACAGACGGCCGAAAGAAACTAGAAGGTATTCAGCGACTTTTTACTAGATCTTTGTCCAGAAGTGATGGCACACAGGGTTCATGCTTAGAACTATATCATAAATACGGTCTTCGACCACTCTGGATCAGAAGACTCCAAAATGGTCTAAACTTCCTATTCAAGGTCATCCATGACCGAGATATTCTCAAAATAAGCTTAATAACAAACCAAACGCCCCCAGAAACGCCAGAAATAACGAAGCTATTACAAGGATTCCCAAATTCACAAAGTCCCAAAGGTCGAATTTCTACACCACAAGATATGACGCTATCTGAAATGCTTTTCCAAGTTCTACCCGGAAAGTCGAACACTTATCGAGCTTAAAATAAAAACTGAAAAATTCTTTTCAAATAACATTACACATTTATTTTTGAATAAGATGGGACATTTTTCAAATCAATTCTTTGATATATAATTTAGTCCGAAAGGGCTATGATGATGCCAACGGCTTGAATAATACCGGAACGGAGCACTAAAAACAATCAAATTTATGAAAGACAGCATCACTGATAAACATAGAACAGGTGGTGATATTGTTTCTTTTCTCCCTTTCTCGTTTCCATCAGCTATGTCACCTGACACTAAGTCAGTTTATTAAGGGAATGAGGCTTTCGCCCTTGAGCTCCCTATTCATATCGATAAACAGAAATAAAGTCATCAATTACATCAGCAAATGCGGAAAGTTAAAAAGATGGCGGTAAATGTGAGCCAGGCGCAAACTGCCGCCGCTAAAACAATCATTATTATATGTATAGTAATTTCTCAACAAATGAGCATCTAGTCTGCACTTAAAGGATTTGATACTTTCGGAAAGAACGACGACATCAGGGAGTCCATTCCGTGCCCCGATAACCCTGTGAGAAAAGGCGTTCCGACGGACGTCCGAATGAGCCCGCTTCCTCTGCAGTTTGAAGGGATGACCACGCAGGCGATCAGTCCCGACCAATTCGAAGAATTCATCAAAGTCTAGGACACACTCACGGCTTCTGACAATCCTGTAGGTTTGAATGAGATCGCCGCGCAGTTGCCTGTAATTTAGAGGAAACAGATTTAGTTCCGTCAGCCTGGTTTCGTAAGGCAAATGATGAAGATTTTTGACCATCTTCGTAGCCATCGCCTGCACTCTTTCCAGTCGTTGATAATCTTTCTTCGACCACGGTCACCAGGCCTGGACTGCATACTCTAAGTGAGACCGGACGAATGCCCCATAGGTTTTTCCGAACAGCTCCTTTTCGATCTGCACAAATCCTCGCCTCAGCGCAAATAACACCCTTAGCGCACTTTTGGCTGCCTTTTGACACTGTGATGATGGTTTCAGCGAGCAGGTCACTAGGACGCCCAGGTCTTTCTGTTCCACAACATTAGAAAGGGACTGACCACCAAGGACGTATTGAAAGGAATCGTGCTCCTTACTGGTCCGTCTGGTGCGGAGTCTCAGAACCACACATTTGTCCACATTAAAATTAAGGAGCCAGCGAGCTGACCAACTGTTCAGGCGGTTAAGACTGTCTTGAAGCGCGTACCTGTCTGCGTCAGATCTGATGGGTCTCCACAGCTTAACATCGTCAGCAAACATGATGGCGCTGCATCCCAGGCCGTCGAAGCAGTCGTTAATGTAAACCAGGAATAGTAACAGCCCTAAGACGGAGCCCTGGGGTACACCAGTTAGAACGGGGGTAGGGGTTGACCTTGAGGCCTTAATGCACACGGCTTGCGGTCTCCCGGTAAGAAAATCTGTTATCCATGTCAGCAGCCTTCGTCTTATCCGAATTTCAGAAAGTTTGTAGATTAGACGTTTGTGTGGGACGCTGTCGAACACTTTCTTAAAGTCTGTGTAGATGACATCGACCCTACCATCCTCGTCCAGTGCACGAGTCTATTGCTCCGTCGAGAGCAATAATCTGGAAAGGCACGATCGGTTCTGTCTGAAGCCGTGCTGCAGGTCTGAGAGTAAATGGCCCTGCTCCAGGAACTTCATTGTTGCTTTCTTAACTATGGCCTCCATTATTTTACAGTAGATGCAGGTTAGACTAACAGGCCGATAATTGTTAGCATTAGTGCGAGTCCCGCCCTTGTATATCAGATAGATATTTGCTGTCTTCCATTCCGATGGCAGCCTCCCTAATTCGAATGACGAGCGGAAGATGTGTGCCAGTGGCTTGGAGAGTTCATTCGCCAGTTCTTTCAAGAATTTGGCCGGTATATTTTCCGGACCCGAGAACTTTGCTTCCTTGAGATTTCTCAGCTTCCTTAAGGAGCTAATAATAACATCCCTTTCGATAAAACCTTACATATTAGTTGTACGTAAGTATATATTAAAGTCATGTTAAATTTATACATATACATATTAAATATATAAACAACTATATTAGATCATAGTAGACAGTCGACCACTAATCCTATAATGTCACATTCACAAGAGCAATATGATACATGATTCAATGTTATTTTGACAGCTTTGGTTGTGAATTATCATTGAATGTTTCTTATTCCTGATATGTATAATAATGGTGGTAGTCGATTCAGGGTCCTCCAGACATTGGGCAAAAAATCCGCCTCGGAGGGGGGTCCAACCTGAGCACGAGAGTGACGCTGAAATTGCCGCTACCACTACACCATTGACGCGCAGCAGCCAGCTTGACAAAAATGTCAAAGTAACCAAAAGACGCTGTGTAAATGACTACTGCGATAAGTCTTCTGCTGTGGAATCACCTTCTGCCAAACGCGCAAGGCGTCTAATAACCTTATTGGATGTTAAATACGAGGACGAAACCTGACCGTTATGTTTTAGACTTCTCCAGAAAATCTTGGAGATGGAGAAGGATATAAGGAATCTAAGAATCGTGATGGAAAAATTAAAGAAACTTCCGCACTATTCACCCGAAAGGAGAAAGATGGCGATGTGGAAAGTACCGAAGATGACCAGAAAAACGTGAGCTTGCCCAGCTGAAGTTTATAAGCCCCGATGACAGCAGATTTATGACCCTCAATGACCCCAGTATCGCACGTGCGTACGGCCTTCCGAAGGTGCACAAGACAGATGCGCCGCTGAGGATCATTGTGCCAATTATTGGATCCCCTACTTACAACCTCGACAAGTGGTTATACAGACACTTAAAGCATCTCGCAAATGGATCGCAATACAGCATCAAAAATTCGCAGGCTTTCCTACAAAATATCCGATGTTGTTGCCCTGTTTTCTTCAATACCGCATGACCTAGCGATTCACAGCGTAGCCCGATGTCTAGAGCAAAGTCCCATTGGCATTCCAACAGAGCATGTTCTAGACATGCTTAAGCTTTGCCTCAAGAATTATTGTCAGTTCGATGGCAAGTACTATCAAAAAGTAAAGGGCACCCCAATGGGCTTCCCAATATCGGGGCTGCTTGCAGAACTAGTTTTGCAGCGACTAGAACAGGATGTTGTGCAAACCTTCGAAACAAAAATGTGGCTCCGCTACGTGGACGACACATTTGCCATCATAAAGACTAGGGAAGTTGAGCCGGTCGGATTTATGTTTAACAATGCTTTCCTTGACAATGCCTGTAAACTGGCATTACGTAAAAATTTATTTATTTATTTATTTAAATAGCGTCTTCCCGGCGATACGGTTTACCCGCGAGAAGCAATAGGAGATACCCTCCCGTTCTTAGATATGAGCATACAAAGACTTCGTGATGGTAAACTAGCGACAAGCGTCCACAGAAAAGACTTTAGTGCCGAAATCATACTTAACTATGGGAGCAATCATCCTGCGGCCCATAAACGAAATTGTGTCCGCACTCATTTTCCATCGGGCCTATCGCATCTGCAGCAGTGATGACTCACTTAAGAAAGAATTGGCCTACTTACATCGGTTATTCCGCTCCAACGGATATCCTGCCAGTTTCGTAAAGAACTGTCTCAGACGCCAGAGACAACTACCAAACCCCGAGTCTCATGAAGATAGAGCGTCGCAGAAATTCTGTTCACTGCCGTACATTCAGGGAATCTCTGAAGCACTCTCCCGGCAGCTAAAACGCTTTGGCATCTCCATTGCACATAGGCCCGCATCTTCTCTCCGCGAGGCATTATGCCGGGTAAAGGACCCGGTGCCCAAGGAACAAATAACTAACGTCATCTACCGCATACCGTGCGCCAACTGCCCTTGTGTTTTTATTGGCCATACAGGCCGATGTCTTGGGACTCGCATTAACGAACACAAGTTAGCCCTCCGCCGACTTGATCCTCTGTCCCTCGTGTTTGCGCACGCCCTTGAGCAGGACCAACGCCTCATTTGGGACGGTACTGAAGTGATCGCAAAGGCTTACACCAGACAGACGCGAGAATTCCTCGAAGCTTGGCATTCTGGCACGACCAGCATCAACATCCACGTCGATCTAGACGCTCACTACGAGGGCTTACGTACACGCTCACTGTCTTGTTCCCACGCCCCACCAACTGCTAACCCCCACTCGGCCACATAGACGTATGCTGTTTCGCCTTTTCGCTCTCCCCCCATTGCGACACGGTGAACAACAGCTGCAGCCCCCCTAACACCTCCAACGCCGGCGCATTGCCCCCTGACCCCATCGCGCATCAGTGACCAGCCGCCCGCATTCCCACTGATTCGCAATCCCCCCCGCGTTTTCACCACCTCCAACACTGGGTGCCCTAAAGGTTCTTCCTTCCCTCCCCTGCCCCACGGTCTACCATAAATAGATGCCCACCTCCCCCTCTCACACATAAGCTGTCTGTTTGTCTTTGTCTGTCCTGTCGTGCCAGCCGACCTAGTCTGCCGATTTCACTTTCCCCTCTGTTCATTTCGCCTGACGACGGGTCGGTGTCACCGACTTGAAAATTTACGAGTACAACTCAATTTTCCGAAGAGCCTTCACGTTCTCCTTATAGACAGAGTTATTTGAAAAAGTATACGTAGCGTTTAGTCGTTCGAATCTGGAATATGGAACCCAAGCGTGACCTCCGTGGCTAAATACACGAGGTAAGGTCGGCGATCCGCAGGTCGCGGAAGGAGTATGAAATGCGAGTTATTGAATGGGCCGTCGATAAGCCAAAAGTGCTCTTCAGCTATATAAACAGTAGGTTAAAGAACAAGGAGATGGTCGCAATGTTGAAAGGAGAAAACAATGAGGATATCATCGAAAATGACGCTAAGGCAGAAAATCTAAGCCCGTTTTTCGTATCGGTTTTCACCGATGAAACGGACTTTGACGAGGCTGGATCTCCTGCTGGGACAACCGACGAAATAATAGAAAACATCGACTTCACGGAAGAAGATGTGAGGAAGGAACTTCTAGCAGTTAAGGAGGGCAAGTCTCCGGGCCCAGACCAAATTCCGGCAAAAGTGCTGAAGGAGTTGGCTTGCGATCTCGCCGAACCGCATTGGCACATCTTTAGGTCGTCCTTTGACCGAGGCATTCTCCCCTCTGATTGGAAAGTGGCGAACATACACCCCATTCACAAGGGTGGATCCAGAACAAGTACAAACAATTATCGGCCGGTGAGCCTAACGTGCATTTGTTGCAAAGTCATGGAGAGAATAGTCAAAAAAATCCATAATGAAGTTCCTTGAAGAAAATAATTTCTTTGCTAGTTCTCAGCATAGCTTTCGACGAAATCACTCCTGCCTAACTAATATGTTTCATTCAACGGAACAGTGGTCTCGCTCGTTAGACGCAGGAACAAAGGTCGATATCGTTTACGTAGATTTCAAGAAAGCCTTTGATAGTGTTCCACACCACCGGTTACTTTACAAGGTCCGAGAGTCAGGGATAAGGGGAAACCTATTAAACTGGGTAAGGGACTTTCTGACTGGTCGATCACAGTCTGTGTGTATTGGTTGTGCGAAGTCAACACCAGTGCCAGTTGTGAGTGGAGTTCAGCAGGGCTCCGTACTTGGACCGGTTCTATTTCTAATTTATGTCAACGACAGTATGAATGGACTGGACTGCAATGGAGTCATGTTTGCTGATGACATCAAGTTATGGCGAGCGATCAACGGCGAACAGAAGGTCTCCTTGACCTTATTCCTCGGAAGATGTTCAAATCGAGTGCTAATTCCACCGCTATCCCACACTTTCTTAAAAACAGACTTAAAAAGTTACGGAAGCAGTTTAAAGATCCTTCTGTGAGCTCATTATCAGTTCATCTAAGAATCGTTGAAATATTTGAACTAGCTTCGAAAATGAGGCTCGAGCGAGATAGGCGTAGAGAGTCTTTAGCTATTAATGACGTGAATTCTTCTAAATCAGTTGCTCAGATCTTCCGTCAGAGATCATCTGCTAAGTCCCACCAAGTCATTCCGCCCTTGCTTAGTGCTAGCAATGCCTTCATTACTGAGGAGTCAGGCAAAGCAGAGATTTTAAATTCGTTCCTTGCCAAGCATTTCACCATTGAAACTGATCCGATCCCTTTAATTCCTTCGTTGTCTGATGCTTCTCTTAGCTTCATTAATTTTTCTCCTGAATGTATTCAAAAACTGATAAGCCATCTTCCTAACTCTCACTCAGTAGGTACGAACAATATCCCAAACTCTTTGATAAAACAGCTGAGAGATTTTCCTCCTCTGCTTAGCAAAATCTTTTCAGTACTTCTCGTAAATGGCTTCTTCCCTGACTATTGGAAAACTTTTATTATTATTCCAGTATTTAAGTCTGGCTGTCGTTCTGACGTACAGAACTATCGAGGTGTCCATAAAACACCCTCTCTCGCCAAAATCTTCGAAAAAATTATCGCCGTAAAAATTACCGAATTTTGTATAGCCAATCAAGTTATTAGCCCTTCCCAGCATGGTTTTTTACCAGATCGCTCTTGTGAAACATGTCATCTGTCGTTTCTCGATCTACTTACCTCTCTTCGTAATGATCACCTATCTGTTGTCGTTATTCATTTTGATCTTAGTAAAGCCTTTGATAAAGTGCCACATAATAGACTCTTGATTAAATTGGAAGCTATGGGAATTCGCAGTCCCCTAATAGACTTTCTCAGGTCATACCTGTCTAATCGTAAACAAAAGGTTTTGGTGGGATCTTCACTTTCCAGTGAAAGTCCTATTGTAAGCGGTGTCCTACAAGGTACCGTTTTAGGTCCTCTTTTGTTCTTGCCTTACATAAATGATATTTCAGCAGCAGTTAAATATTCTCAATCATTTATTTATGCCGATGATCTCAAATGTGTATATTCTTTCAATAAATCTACGAGCCTTCATTGCCTGGAGCAAATCCATGCTGACTTGCTTGCTCTCTCAGCTTGGAGCTCAAAATGGCTAATGGAATTCTCTCCGTCTATATGTCGTTATATGTGTTTTGGACCTGACAGGCTACCCCAACCTGTGGTCTTTCAAGGCACACCTATGACTGAATGTACCACCATCAAGGATTTAGGTTTAAGCTACACTAGTAATCTTGATCTCTCGCCGCACGCTGACAGAATTACAGCCAAAGCTGCCAAGATTTGTGGCTTTATTTCTTACAATTTCTATCTTCCTGAAATTAAATTAAGGCTCTATCGTATGTTTGTACTTCCCATTCTCGAGTATTGTTGCCCATTCTTTGGTTTGATGAATGAAGCCAGTCGTTTGAAAATTGAAAATGTCCAAAGACGTTTTTCTAAAAAAACTTTTAGATAGGGAACATCCCAATATCTCCTACTCAGATAGATGCCAGCTAATTAACCTAAATTTTTTATGGGTTCGAAGACTAGAAGCGGGCTTCTGTCTCCTCTTTCGCATTAATCATAGTTCAAATTTTCCTCGGATTTCAACACTTACCCCTAGTAGTCGCCCATACAATCTTCGCAACTCGTCTCTAATTATACCTCCTCCAGCGTCCTTCACCTCTAAGCGCTCCCTTTTTTCGCTTCCAGGTATACTTTCCTCTGGAATAACCTTCCAATAAATATAAGATCTTCAGAAAATCTACACACATTTAAGGGAAGGCTACGCCTTTATCTGAATACTGACTCGATTAAACTTTTATTTTCCTCATCCTTCCCAGACAACTTTTTCTATGACACTGAGAAAGGGCCACCGGGAATTTAGCATGCCGCTATTAAATTTCCGTATCTGTTCACGTTTTCTTCCTTTATGAGTTGTCTCGCTACCTAAGATCCCTCACCAGAAATGTTAATTGTTCCAATTTTTCAGTTCATGCATCGTGCCCTCACAGAATGCGCACCATTGATGCTCTTGGCGAAACCTTCTGTATTCGCCATATACTAACTCGGATGAATGTAACCGACCGCATCTGGGTTCCTATCGCCTCGGGACCGATCTTCATGATGCCCTCACTGAATGCGCTCCATCGACGCTCTTGGCGAAGCCTTCTATATTCGCCATATACTAGTAATCTGGTCGCATCTCCCTTCCCCCATGCTCGGATGGACTCGGTTGAATGAAACCGACCGCATCTGGGTTCCTATCGCCACGAGACTGGTTTTCAATTTCGCCACTTATTTTTCTTATTCAAGGCGATACAGGCCAGTCCTGACCCACCCGCCTACGTACAATTTTATGAAATCCCTTACACAATGCCATATACAGCTGACATTTATTCCGGCCATGCTGATGTCGGACTATATTCCATTCTGTACCGCCACATGCAGGCCAGTCCTCCCTGTATTTTTCTGATGCTATTTTTCTGAGGGGTTTTTTTCTCCTGTTAAATTACTACAGTCATTTTTAAATTTTGCTTTGGAGTTTTTTTTCACCCCTCGTTTTTTTTCATTTTCATTTTGCTTAACGGACTTCTAATCTCAAAAACTATGTATTGCACTTTGTACAGATTTTGCCTACCTCGTCTAAAATTCGCATGTAAATTTATTTTTACTTGCTTTGATGGGACCCCGACGGGTCTTTAATAAAAATAATTGAATTGAATTGAATTGAACATGATGAACGGGCCCTGCAAGAAGGACTGAATCGCCTATGCGAATGGTCTGACAAATGGCTGCTAAAGTTTAACCTAGAGAAGTGCGTCGCACTGCAACTCAAAACGACTGGAAGATCTGACGGAGAGGATCACCATTACCAACTTGGTGGAAGGTGCCTTTCAAATGTAACCGAACAAAAAGATCTTGGGATAAACATTCTGTCGACCCTTAAGCCTTCATCTCAGTGTGTTGGGGCGTCCAAAAGAGGAACTGGTGTTCTCTTTGCCATTAAACGATTTTTCGTGGAAATACACAAAGAGTTATTTGGAAAAGTATACGGAGCGTTCATTCGCTCGCATCTGGAATATGGAATCCAAGCGTGCGCCCGTGGCTAAAAAAGACAATAAGTTGCTAGAAAGAGTTCAGAGGAGAGCAACAAAAATTGTAAAAGGCCTCAGGACTTTACCTTACAACTGCCGACTTAGGGAACTTAAACTTTTTCCTCTTGAGTGCAGGCAGGTTCGTGGAGATCTCATACAGGCCTATCGGATATTGAGGAACCGGGAATGTGCCCCAAACCCCGACGATTTCTTCACCCTGGCCACAACGACAAACCTGCGTGGGAACTCTCTAAAACTTAGAGGATCCCGATGCCGCCTGGACGTTCGCAAATACTGTTTTTCACAGCGAGTCGTCGGTGCCTGGAACGGGCTTCCCGAGGACGTAATAATGGCGGATACCACGGAGACGTTCAAGCAAAGACTCGATGCATATTTGCTTGGACACTATCGCTTGTCTGGACAGAACAGCTCTGTGGTGCTAAACCAACGCCGTGCATACTCATACCGCTAATGCGGATGACTGTCATTACATTTTACTGAAATCATCTACAACTGAATGTTCTCAAGTTTTGGTTCTTCATTTCCAGAGGAAATATTCTGTCAAATGTGTATATCACTGACAACATTTCAGTACCATGTTTATTTAAAGTGAAATATTGCATGTACCGTTTACAATAGGGTTTTGAAAGGCATTGCCTATTACTCTTAAAATATACTGACCTATACTGACCTAAGTTGCTAGAAAGAGTTCAGAGAATAGCGACAAAATTTTGAAAGGCCTCAGAACTTTACCTTACAAATGCCGACTTAATGAACTTAAACTCTTTCCTCTTGAGTACAGGCAGATTCTAGAAGATCTCATACAGTCGCATCAGATACTGAGGAACCGGGACTTTCCCCTAAACCTTCATTATTTATTTACCCTGGCCACAACAACAAACCTGCGTGGGAACTCCCTAAAACTTAGAGGATCCCGATGTCAACTGGACGTCTACAGATACTGTTTTTCACAGCGAGTCGTTGGTGCCGGGAACGGGCTTCCCGAGGACGTAATAATGGCGGATACCACGGAGACGTTCAAGCCAAGAGTAGATGTATATTTGCTTGGACAATACCGCCTGTGTGGACAGAACAGTTCTGTGGTGCCAAGCCAACGACTTGCATGCACCTACCACTAATGCGGATGACCGTCATTTCATTTTACCGATATCATCTCCAACTGAATGTTCTTGAGTTTCGGTCATGCATGTTCAATGAAAAGTATTCTGTTAAGCACATATATTATTCAGAACATTTTAGTACCATCTTTAATAAAAGTTAGATATTTCATGTACCGTTTACAATAGGGTATTCAAAGGCATTGATTTTTACCCTTAAAATAATCAGACATACACTGACCTATATTCCTCTTTCAGCTCTTAGTCCGGACAATTATGGGTAGCCTCCTGAAAAACACGAAGGAAATGTGCAACCGCCCCTTTACAACTGGGCAGATTATAACGAGCCTGAATGTCAGTACGAGAGACGGTTCAGGAAAGTGAGGCTTTGGCAACTTCTATGTACTTAATCGGCTATGCAGAATAAGAGACTAAGTGGAGAAGCCTAGTTACAAAAATAAACTGGGGCAAAGTGAGATTGTCCAGCGGGATTGGCGGAGGCACAATGATCCGGCAAAGACAGCGACAGAGGTCCCGCGTACGAAGGTTGGCGGCCTGCCACGGCGTTAATATGCCGGAGGTTAATCATCGCCCGTATTTATAGCTTCTCCAAGCCGGAAGTCGTCAAGTTTGAGTCCGCCATTGTTGGTTGGTTGAGGGTAGAAAGTTAAACAAACGTAGGTCATGGATATTTTGATTAATTTTAGGTTTATAAAAATTTATTATATGCATACATTTTGTGAGAGGCCAAATTGGGACAAAGTACATGGCATAAAAAGATGGAAAAGTTCAGGGCGCGCGCCCCTAAAGGGGCGCGCTTTCTAGAACTTTCTTTAAGACGGCGGCCGCACGTGGTCTGGCTTCTTGAACTTCCCACAAGGCGGAATGACAACCGCCAACTAGAAAACACCCAAATTTACCCAACTGGAATGTGATTTCAAGGTCAGGCCGATATCAAAGTTATTCGATTCCATTAAGGACATATTATTCATTCCCCCCTTCCCCCAGAAACTACCGAATTGCACACTTAATTTTTTATAGTGTACATATCGTTCTTTCTAAAGACTTTTGCGATTATTTTTCCTTGGAATTCAGGTTTTTTAACTTACAACAAACTCTTAATTCGCGCTCTATTGGTTGAACAGACACTCAAAACAAATGAAGTCAAAGTGCAGTCGAAATGGATGAGTTTGTTTTACTTTTTTTCCATGTTCAAGGTAGACTGACAGTGCCCAATGGGCGCTATAATAAACCTATTTTATTCTAAACGGTCGCCTCTAATTTCTGACTGAGTGACTTCACTGCTTGGACTTGAACGAGCAGGGGGGGGGGGCGGGTGGGAACATCTGCGAGCCCTCGCAATGAAATTGGCATGATACCAACAAATAACGGCTATTAGAGGTCGCGAACGGGAACGACGCCGGCTAAATGAGCGAGTGGAAGAAAGGCGAGCGAGCGGTAATTTTAGGGACGCCATCTCTTCTGCTATGGCATCGCTATATGCCCACTTGGCGTTGGTAACAAGGGACTGGAGAGCTGGGCGACGGAAGGCGTTTCGAAGCGCTGCACCTCCAACATCCTGTCCGCCGTCTCAACTGACCGTAACACCGAGAGATCGTCTGAGCCAGAAACCAGAACGGTTTGAACACCGGCTGGCAGACGCTCCAGTAAAAATTCCTTCAAAGTTTGTAATCGATTTTTAGCTCACAGCGAAGGCCTCGCATCCTTATCTATATAAGAAGGTTGCGTGTTCGAATCACGTCGGGGTCACCACTTTAGCGGGCAAGTAAACCGATTACTCGATCTCACACTAAGACAAAGTTGAGAAAAGTCAGGCGAAACGGCTGCGCCAGAACGGACTTAAGTGTCAACGCCGCCCAGAAAAGAGCAAAGGCAATGGGTAAAAAGTCAGTTAGCCAAACCGAAACCCACACCAGCTGGAGTGTGCGCATAACAGTTACATAAACACCAACTAAAACAAAAGTGGATAAATAGGAGTCTAGTAGATGCTTAGCAAGTAGAATAACTATAAAAGGCAGTGAATGAACAAAAATATGACAAAGGGCTACCACAGATTCACGATGGTGGACATCGTGGTCTTTGCTTGAGTCGTCACATTGTTTACTCACAATAGTCATATAGTAAAGGCAATGCCCGTTAGCTGGCCACACTTTGCAATTCCTGTTATAATTTGTGGTTGGCTGCGTGATCGTGCTTCTATTCAGGAAGTTCGGGCTGGAGCATAGCATGCCATAAGCAATGACATTCCATACAGAAACTCATGTCTCCAATGTGCGATTCAGACGAAAGCCTAGAAATGCCTATGCAATAAACATGAGATCCACAAACTATTCAGCGAACAGATTCGGATGTTTTGCATATTGTATGCATCCACCGAAAGAATGCGTATTAATTGCTACCAGGACACTCAACAATTGTTCTAGTTTCAACAAGCATCTCTGAAATATCCCTGGTCCAATTAATTACGAACGGCACGCAACAGCATGTAAATTTAGTATATCAGGAAGAAGTAAGAAAACAAGCTTGCCACTTATTCACGGAACCAAGGCCGTGCGCATGATGGGAATAATGAAAATTTACCCTGCTTAGGTACAGGTGATTACGCACGAACACTATGGGAGCATAAGTCATAGTCAACGAAATTCTCATTTTTGACCGTGTTCTATTCATTTTTTGTCATTGGTCCGTATCCACAACCGTTCTGAATTGTTTGTTTCTAAATAGCCCTAAGTTTATCTCAGTGTTCGGTTACGTTGTTTTTTTTCGGAAACTGTTTGTTTGTAATCTTTCTAGTTTCCGCATATGTGATGTCCGGCGACCACCGTAACTTTATGTCAGTCCATTGGTCGATCCTTCTTCAGCATCCTTTTTCTGGACCCCATAGTACTTAACTCGGATTTACACAAGCGCACTTTCTCTCAGAACGGCATAAAAACACAAATTCAATACCTCAATTCTGACGGAACTTTGAGAACTCCATGCAAGTTTTGAGGACCATCGAGAATTTTAAGACGCGCCAAATTACGCCGCCAGAGCGCTTTTTGAAAATGCCTAAAGACGTGGACTCTCCTGCTGCGCTGGAGATAAAGATCAACAAATGGGATATAAACGCAGCCAAGCATGCCTTAGATGATGCCGCAAAAGAGGTTTTTAAGTTTCTTTTAAATCGAGTTCCATAGATCATGAAAAGTCACTACGAAGTGAAGGAGTGTTTTCGTTTGTTCGACGGCCGCCTTCTTCTTTGTACATTGGCGGTTCTTGTGGCTTTGTTAGCAGTAGTCTATGACTACGTATTCCCATATCCCGATTCGAGATACATTTTGATGGGATGTGCTGTAACGTATCCTCTTTCGTCGTTTAGAAACTGTAAATTTGCTTATCGCCGTCATACTTGGGCCCAGGTCGTATCCCCACGACAGGCAGGTCGTCTTCCCCCTATTATTTAACTCTTTGATATTGAAAAGTTCCGGGGATGCCATTGTAAGTAGACATTTCTCATTAGTCGGGGACGGTCGACTGGTGTCGCCCAAACGAGTGGTAAGGGGCGACAGTTCGATGTCTTCCTCAACATATTATGAAATTTGCGGCGATAAAACTAACCCCCCTCTTAAGACACTCAAGTTACAATGTACCCCGTAATTTTTTTATGGACTGACCTTCTCATTCCGAGAGTTCTCCCAGAAATATTTCGTTGACTCGCAAACTACATTCTTACCTTTTTGTCTGTGCCCCGAGAGTATTGTCCTTAACCGTTGTTTGCAGCTACTTTCTCATCACTTCGGTTCTATCGTGGTACATGTACTTCATAGAGGGCAATATTTTCTTTAATGGAATCCAGGCGGACAAGACAGGTCTCGATCCAGCTGATAAATGGACGTTATCCTCCTCCATAAAGAAGTGAGTTGCATCGTTTATGTGCTCTGCGGCATTTTTCGTTATCCATTATTGCCGTATACGTGCAATGTGGCCGCCTCATTCTTCTATGATCCTCGCGACACTGCGGACGGCACTGACCGCTTCACAATAATTAGTCGTTTTCAACGTGATCCGACGATTTACGTTATTTTGTTTGCTTGTCGAGTCTAGTGCGGTGCATGACAGGATATTCGACATTATCTTCTCAATTAATACCCGTAACGCCATTCATAATGACTAATAAGGTCGTCCTCATGTTTCTGGTCTTTGGCGTCCTGAGTGGTCCCCTCCCCAAGTGCCGACCAGTGGCAGACTATCAGTCGAAGTTTATTTCCTTGACACGTCTGACCGATGGTATGCGGAGTTCACGGCTTTCGGCCGTTCGCCTGCGTCATCTGATGACTTACTTTGTCCATGGCCTACCTACTGCGCAGAAAGTCTGATCTAATATCACAGAAGTTTCCTGCAAGTCCTATAGCCCACTGCCGATTATAACCCCAAAGCCCGAAGCGTCATCGTGTTGTAGGCACTTGCTTCCATCCGTATTTATGATGCTTCTTCATTTACCTGAGAAACTGCGTAGTGCATTTGGTCAAAGTAGTTTATTAACATAACGTTCTCGGCGTAGCCGAGAACCGTGAAAGGTTCGTCCGTGAAGAGTGATTACTGTCCTTAAGAGGGTGCGCTGGTGACGCACGTAAATGCGTATGGGAAAGCGGACTTCCGCGTCATCTACTTTACTTTTCACACTTCTATGATGTAACAATGGCAGATAGTCAGGACGACTGGAGGTGAGTGTGGACGCAGTGAATAGTGAGACTAAAGCCAAGTTCAGGCCGTCCGCAAACATCCTTATCCTTAACTCGACACAAACTAGTCTTTGATGAGATGGTTTCTGGTCTTTTGTCGGTGAGAGTGACCACAATCAAGGAGGAACCACTGCAATATGACCCTCGTCCCGAAAGAAATCTGAGCTACCCTTTCAGATGGCCACATCCAAGCCTCGAATATAGGTTTGCCACGATAGTTGAAGGCGAATTTGGTTGTTTATAGTAAGGAAACCAAATGCTGAACTTGAGCTGAAACGATCCAGTAACAACCCTATCCGGTGCCAGCGACAGACTTGGTAAATCTGACTCTACTGGGTTCAGTGTCTAATATTTAACGAAGCCACAACCCAACGCCTTCCAAACACCACGATCCGCAGTGCACGAATCTCGTGGTCTGCCAGCACAAGCAGAACACAGTCTATCACGTGGTTGACCAGGCGTGCCCCCCACAGTCTCTTGCGGTAGGACTTAACTCATCTCCAGCTTATGTTATGTCATGTAGATCCCCCATCCTCAAAGAAAAATCGTCAGTGCAATACTAAGGTTGTGGAACATGGCGTCCGGAGAGCATGATATTCCCTCTGAAGTTTTGTGTCGAAATTGTGGCGTCCTGGCTCAATTGGATGATTGAACAAGCATGTGAGATGGGCTCGTTTCCGACAACTGAGGCTCGGGCACTCTGTATTCAAAAAGTGAATAAAGGTGAAGTATATTGGCTGCCGCGGAATAAGCCTAATCGGCGTTGCTGCAAACGTCTTCGCCATCATCATTATCAGGAGATTTGAAAGAGTGCAGGACTCGAAAACGAGACCCAACCGAACCAGGTTTCTAGTTAGAGGGAAGGCGCGGACCAAACATCTGCACTGCTCCTGGTTCTTGAATTTCACCATGACCACCAGTAACCGACGACTGTCTACTTTTTGACTTGGTCATGACGTTAAATTTTGTCCTTGTGGAGGGAAATGGAACTAGCCGGTACGCCAGCAGATATCGTCACCACGATTGGGCGCGTACTATCGCTCCTCCTTTGCGTGGATTCTGATCCACAGTCCCTCTCAGCCGTTCGATAAACTTGAATTTAGTCCCCCTTTCCGTTCAACTACGACACCGAGTGGATTCTCGAAGGGGTTTGTGCGGTTTTTGAATGTGTTACATTTGCACCCGGACGCTGACTGATCTCGGCCAGGCTGATAGCAAGCTTTAATTACCTACAGGCTAGGGTCGCATGTGAGCGAAGTCGTTAAATCGGTCAATCTACGCACAAGGATAGGGAGACCTATTTTTCCCAATTGTATCACCAACCGGGCAAATGCAACACTCGGGATCAATGGTTGTCAGCTTAAATTGGTAGAAGGCTTAAAATACCCTGTGGGCTAGGTGGCTGCCAAATGGAGGGGGTAAGGACGATATTTTCTCTCGTATTTATGCTATTCGCGACGTTTTCACAATCCTTTAAAAGCATCTATGGACCTGACACGATATTTTCATCTACCCAAAGACTCGTTTGTTTTAGGCATTTGACTAACCAGTTCTATGCTCTTGTTAGTGCTTGACTGTGCGCTTGGAAGGTGAGCGAAGACTGGAGGCGTTACATCACCGCTCCCTGAAAAACATCCTTCGAATGAGGTACACTGACATATTTTCAGTGCGATGATTCGCATTTGCTGCGAAAACATCACAAGACCGTCCAAGAAAGATAGCCGAGGCGGTCTGGGTGCGTTCTTCATCGTGAGGCCTATGAGCTCAGTCTTGATACCCTATATTCTGAACCGATATCCACACGAAGGCGTCAAAAAGGCATAGTCTGTCAAGACATGGAGGTGGTTCTTGGACCTTCGGTACGGCGTCCCGGTAGTTGGTAAAGAGAATAGGTCGAACTCTTCAGATTTGCAATCGCTGATCAGACGTGGAATTCGCAACATCGGGATCGACTAAATCAGTCATGATCGCAGTTGTGCCAAGCAAAAGTACATACATGTTATGTAGTAAGGTTGCTGAGGGTGAATCTCAGCTTAAACGGCGAGAAACAGGGCAGAATGCACGGAACATACAAGTGTTTTCCTGGTAACAGTAACCGTATTTAAACACGACGAGTGGATATGTACTAATTAGTGCATCCAACTCTGCCGTAATGCCGTACTGAGTTTTTGTGTGCGTCGCCTTAGACGTAAAAACCATTCAGGTGGAAGACTGCGAAGACTTCTGTGGTTATGTTCAGTGAACTAGAGCCATGATGAACTGCTTAACAACATCACACAGATTTGTGGACACAACAGCAAGTAGCAGGCCTGCTCGTCTTGCACGAGATCCGACATTTCAGACGATGCCTGCTGTAACCCGGCCACTCCTCGTAGACTCCTTGGGGTGCGCTGCAGTTCGGGCAATTGAATTTCAACTGAAAATGACCCAAAGAAGATGGTAGTCTGCATCAGTGCGGGGAACGGTTGGATACAGGTCGGCAGAAGCTCGGGTTTGGCTGAATCCTTGATACTGCATGAGCCAGTTTGGCAAGCACACCTCAGACACAATCAACGTTCACTTTGTGCTGCATCGACGCTTGCGTTGTTATGCACTGCGTTGTCCTCGAAGCAAGATACCTCAAGCGCCTGTATGCCATGTGGAGTTTTCCCCTCCAAGGGGACACGCTTGCATGTTTATCATACGGGCCACCTGTGGAGGCCCAACCTGCATGGCATCCGCAGTAGGACGATCCTTTTTTATTTAGACTTGTGCTTGTCGTACCATAGTAATGTTTTCAGACTCCACAGCGCTTTATAGGGTAGTTGGTTCGGCCGACATCAACCTTTAGCATTATATTGTCACTGTCGCTACTAGCCCTGAGCCGTTCGGCCGACACAGAAACCTTCCGTATTTTGCAGCTACTTCCAACTACCCGCAGATGCAAGAGATAGTCAGCAGCAACGATAGCAGGCAGACCCTGTCTTTTCGAAGTATCTTTCTTCCTATCGAGTTTCGCGGTTTTAGTTTTTGCCAAACGCGTCCATCAGAAATTCACCAGACATTGAGTGACATCCATTTTGTTGTCCGGGCTCGCGGCTTTTTATATAGTCGACCTTGAGTAGGAGGCACTTATGCAGCACGTCTAAATGTGCCCCTGTTTTAAGCGATTCTTCTGACAGGTATAGTTTCACAGCTGTAGAACTGCTTTGTTTCGAATTGCTTTGATTACTATTTTCCTGCTAACAATTATTAACTTCTACATCCTAGGCACAATCCAAACTACAAACTATCAGTCGAATTTTATGATGGGAAGTCCAAAACGAGAAACAGCGTGGATGCCACGCGGACGATTGACAATTTCTTCGATATAAAGGGCAATCTCTGCATAGAACCTTTTAAGGAGTTTCTTCTTGAATTGTCCCGCCAGGCATCACAAGTCAAAAAGAATCAGTGACGTCATCTTCCCGATTGCTTACGATAACCTTGTTGTTTGTTTTGGTGAAAAGTCTCTTTTTATACATATGCTTGTCTCTTCTCGCGCCTTAAAGTTGTGGTTATTCAGCTTGCGTTATCCATTTTCTGTTCATTTCAAACTGAAGCATTTGAGTTTATAATGAGCAAAAGGTTTTTTGGGTCTCTTTCAGCCTCTCCTTTCTCCTGGCCTATTTTGTTTTATTTGGTAGACATATATAGGCATATTTTGCATCATCGCTCACCTTATGAGCGCAGCATGACTAATATGGACGACAACTAAGTCATCTTAAGCACGAAGATGGTTAATTACTGAAGTGTGCTGTTAAAAATCCCGCGTAGAGGGAAGTCAATCCGCAAAGTTCGTGGGCCCTAATGTAGCCACCTTCTTCATTATTGCTTTTCCCGAAGCCGCAGCAGCCCTTCATAACACGCTTGGAATCAGTCCTGAACTAGCGTCACCAGAAATTGTTACTTTAATAGCGAAGCCAGTTATGGATCATTTTTGCTAGACGCTGGTTCAAGGCGTAAATGGCTACCTTAGTACTGCGAATTCGCCTCAGGCCGAATGCTGGCGTTAGTTACTTTCCCTCGGTGTTAAGCCGCTCATTCTTTAGCAGTGCAGCTCCAATGTCCCGTCACTCCCTTTAAGAGGCCCACACCAGGGCAATAAGGCTCCTACTCTGCGTCAAGGCGCACGAAGACGGCACTTCTGCATAATTTTGAGTCTTATATCGAATGGAAATAAATGACACTTATCACTAGGTGAGATCGTTCCGGCAAATTGGACGTTAGACGCCCTTATGCATTTTGTTGTTGGATCGAGAGGTTGGTAATGACGAGCTGAGGATCGTTCCATTCAGCACTGTCGACTTCTGCGTATCCGATCACAGCATGTGAACTGTTGCCTCCCCTTCCCGGTTGTTGAATAACCGGTCAAGCTGTACCCTCTCCCACCGGCGATGGCCTGGAGCGTCTTGTTTGACGTATGGTGCTTCATAGTTGGACGCCTCCAGCATGGCGTTTTAATGTTCTGGAAGTATGATAGACAGCAGCTGAAACCTCAGTTGGTGGTGCGCAATATCAGTCACGTGGCACTATCGTCAGACAATCGAGTTGCTAGGTCAATGCTCACACACACCAAAGCGGCGGTTTATTCTTCATGCCTTAGGATCTGCTTCCCGTTCCGTCGTTCTTGCTAATGCCTTCGATAAGTGGACACAATGATATTAGAAGTAACAGGCTACGGCTCACCGCGAAATTGTCCCTAAGTCCTTAGCTGTTGTCAAAGACGGTCTGGATGTGGAGGTGGGACCAAGCCGGGGCAGCATGTAACTTCGCTAATTGATGGTGTGCTCTCGCCACAGCGCTTACCGAATTCACACTGTGACTACCCGCAGTAACCGTTCGGTTTGATTTCGCTGCGGCACTCGATTCTGTTCAGTGTTGATTCTTGTAGTTGAAAATGTAGGCCAGTGGTGTACCAACAAAATTACTGCCGCAACCAAAAGTACCATCTGTGTCGGCGTGCTCTCCCGGAACCGCATAACCGGCCAGTACCCGCTCGAACGTTCGGAAACGTTGCATCCTCTTTATAATCATATTTAACAGCACCACTGACTGGGTTGTTGAGGGCAATTTTTCCACCTCTGCTGGTGGCGGAGACTTGAATTTGGATACTGACTGGTCATTCTAGACGACTGACTACGTGCTGCGTTATCGACAACGTAACAGCCAAAGTGAATAGGAGTGCTAAATCACTTGGCTTCTCCATTAACGCCAAAAGCCGGAGTGCTGAGCTGCATCTCTGACCGGATGTCGCATTCGTGGCTCACGGATTGTAGCTTGAGGAAATGGGCAGTTTCAAGTATGTCTGGCCATCTCATCGTCAGGCGAACAAAGTAAGGACTCCATCCCTACGAACTGATGGCGCCTACAGGGTTTTCATTTCCATTCAAAAGTTCGTTTACACTACACGCCATACTGATTACCACAGAGATCAGAATGCGCCGGCCGTCCACTAGGTCCGCTTTTTTAAAACTGCCAGTTTTGGCTTTACCATGGAAGACGAGGTGAGGCTTCGCAATCACAGATCACAGTCGCTTGAGAACTGTCCTCTGGACAAAGTGCGCAGATCTGTTAGGCAACATAGCCAACGGTGGCTGCGACATTAAGGCGATACTTCAAAGCACTCCGTTGGGTCGGCTGGATTATTTGCCCCTGCTGCTAGTTCTTCCAAGAACACAGCACAGCCTGCCTAACTCTAGTGCCATCATATCTCCGGAAAGGAGAGTATTGAGGTTGTTCTTGGAGTTCCGGCATTCAATTTTTGCTTCTGGAAAAAATAACTACGGATACTCGAATCTGTTTCATGCAGGACAGCACTCTGGGTAGGCAGTGATCACAACCGTATAAAGTACAATTGCGCTGCGGTTGGACAACGCGCAGAGGTGTTCCCCAAGTCCTTTGAGCAAAACCTGGTGGGAACAGCTAAATAATCCAGAACGCTCATACAACAATGAGCAAAATTTCTGGTGCGATTTCACATAAAGAACATTACTTAGGTGAGGCCACTAAGAGAATTGGAAGGAGCATGTTTTTATGCTACTTCATACAGGGCGGCGCGCTGGCTTTTGCCTGAGAGTCCTTCCAAATGTGCGACAAAATACTTGTAATGGGGTTTGTCTCCTCACACTTACTTTCTGCGCCTGCGTAAACTCGTTCATATTTTACATAAACAATGCGTAAGAAGCCAATTCCTTAATGTCGTCTTCTTAATGTTTGATGCTTGAAGTTTGTCAGAAAGTTTACAATAATGGAGATCTGTGCGACACTGCAGCGGCTGTTCATATGTCCTACTGTTCGCAGATTTACCGATGTTCACGCACTATTCAATGTGATTCATGTTCTCTGAGTACGAGGCCTCCCTATAGAGACATACAGGGTTATCTGAGCTTGCTGTGAAGAAAATGCAGAAATCTTGGAAAAAAGTGATAATGCAGCCTGATTTTCAGAACTCTCGAAATGCTTCCTTCACGTCAGAAATGCAGTAGATGTGTTATCTCCTGAAATTTTGGCCGTAATTTTCAAATGTTTTCGACCCGGAAAGACTACCTGAGTAGAGACGTAATATCGTGCAGCATAGTCCCAAGATGTTTTAGTCACGTCAGATGCCGGTTTTTGAATAAGCGCCTTTTTGCCCTCATGCAAGAGCCACTGAAAACTGACTACTTAAGCAGTCTGGATTTTTCCCATCGATTTTCAATGCCCTTATAGGCTCGAATATACCATATATAAGACGTGCTCAAATTTTTTTCTTGTGCTCATTTGGTAGCAAACTGCGTCTTCAAATTTCCCACTTGAAGAGAGGGTACTTTTGGTTCCAAAAAAGTTTCTAATCATTTGATTTCTTAAGATCGTGAAATGTCCGTTCGTACAGCATCGCATCGGCACATTTATCAACTCTACTTATAAAGTACACAACGTTGTTCACATTTATGCACAACTGAGTCCTATATGATGTCTGTGTGATTTTCCATAAACGGAAAGTACATTTATGCATGCAGTTTGGGAACCACAGCCGCCAGTATGGCTGCAGGCCGGGCGTTAAAGTCTTCCGAAACCGAAGAATGCTTTTCTGCAAATATAGATCTTAAGACACCGTAGTCTGTTGCCAAATGAGTACAAAACCATATCTTGTGCATTTTCTATAGAATATGAAGTTAATGAGGACATCGATGCCCAGTGGGAAGAATGCATACTACTGAAGTAGTCATCTTTCATGCAGTGTGGTACTTGCAGGCGGTTGAGAAGAAGCTCATTCAAAAGTCGATATTCTGGCGCGACTGAAATACGTTAACATTATGCTGCATGATTGTCAGCATTAAATTCCCGCCTGAGTTATTCTTTTTCATTGAAAACACATTCCAACATTTCATAAGGTAGGCCAGGTTTGTGTCTTGTTAGGTATTCTCAATGGGAACAGCATCAGATACATTGTACATCGTCCTGTCATCTTATCAGGTTGTTGTTCGGAGGAGAAGCTTAAGTCTGGAATTCCGAGTTTGTTGCCTAATACGCCCGACTTCCGCGGACCGCGTGATTTATTTGTGCACGAAACAACCAGTTGTATAAAATCGCGTCGACGAAGTCGAGAATGTGACTAGTGCGTAGGGTACGACATGAAGTTCCTTTCTGTCCGGCAGATGCCGAGCCTGTTGCAATGATCGCAACAGTGGGGGGCAGTTCCAATGTTAGCGATTATGACGAATATTGTCTGACGACATTCAGAGTAATTCCTTACAGAAAGTAAGTCATTTGATGTTCACCAAAAGAGGTCAAAGATAACGAAGACCACCCTATCTTGCCTGCGTCGTGTGCGTCTAGAACTGTCGTAATCGGCGGGCAGGGCCTTTTCAGCAAGGCAGAACTTGCTCGAGAACTGTCGGTCCTAAGTCATTTCTTGCCAGGACATGTAAACCTCCCGACATTATTCACAATGAACAAGCATTGTGTGTAATAATGCTTCCAATTTCCGATGGGTATTTGTTGAAAAAATGCACGTCTCATGTTTCGTTAGCGAACGAATTTTAATTTTTCTACGGTGACCCAACCTCAAAGCTCTCTGAACCGCAGGAATATTTTGATATTTTTAGCTAATACCTGTGTTGTTAGTACGGTAAATTATTGCGCAATGCTATACTACTGGCTGCCTGTTGGCGGTTTGTGAATATTAAGCGGTTATTCCGTAGTAGCTGATGGATTTCAGCTCAAATATTCATATCAAATTTCGGACCGTGCCTGAAAAGGCCTGTTTCGAAAGAGTTACTCCAAGTTCGCGCATTAATTTCCTCGGAAATTAAGCAAGGCATGATATGACATGTCTTCTGAGATTAAAAGATAGACAGTAAAATGAATCTGTTGTGCGATTTAACTGGCACCCTGTTGTAGAAAGAGCGAAATATATTCTGTGGAAATCACCGG